AGTTGAGCAGGTGGTGCCATGTTGAAAAGCAGGATTCAAACTGCAGGAGGGAAGGGAAGGTATACCACTGAGCCAGAACAGATTTCCTGCAACATGCAAGAACCTTGTTCTGCAACTGTGTGAGGATGTAGACTTGGCAGTATATGCTCTACTCTGACACCCTGATGCATACCAGTGTGTCACCTGCTGAAGCATTTCTTAAAGTGTCAGAAGTTCTTGTGTAAACAAGTGCCTCACATAAAAGAAACAGAACTATTTCTTAAGCCAATAGTTATTTCTAAGTGGTTTAGCAAGATTTCCTCCTTCATTCCCTGCCACTAAGGAACCTTATGAAATAACTTCACTGTCCACTCCCTCTACCATTATTGTCATTAGAAACATGTCAGCCCAGGGCTGGAGGGAATAAAATGCAATTCTGCTATAGATTGGGTAACATTTGCATGTAGTAGCTAAGAGACACAAAATAGTGGATATAATTTTGGGTGCTACTTAATTTGTGAAAGGATTAAGTTGAGAAATAACTTGAGGCTTTAAAAAAAAAATTGTTTTCAGAACTGAGGGAAGGTGGGGCCTGGGGGAAGGCACAGCTGAGGCATGAGGCAGAAACCTTTGGAAAATTCCCAGGAAAGTAGGAAATATTATTTCTCTCTCCTTCTCTATCTAAATTCCCTAAGAAAGGCTTGGCTTCCTGTTTGAGGAAATCTTTTGGGATTTGAGGAAGACAACGTAGCTACAATTAAGTAACAGTAATTGTCCTTCACTGTTCTAAAATGCAATGTAAATACTAGTTGGGAATCAAAGATTAACTTCTGTGCTAAAGTATATCTTTTATATCAGGAAATAAACAGAAAATCCTGTCATATTCTTGTTTTTCATACTTAGGATAACTCTATCACTTATCTTTTTGTTTTTTAAAGATTTATTTATACATACAGAACTGAGGTACAGGCCAGAAGCTCAGGGGCGGTGAGAGGCTTCACCAGAGACAGAGTGGGGAGCAGAACAGGCAGATCGACAAAGTACACTGCTGAGGGGAGCAGCGGGCGGGCCAGGAGAGGTCTGCCTCACCAGGCAGATCACCTCCAGGGCTGGCCGGGATCGAACTCATGTGGAAGTGGAGGGCCCTCCATTACTTATCTTTAAAACTAGGACATGGAAGGAGAGTGCTAGGAGTATTATGCCTTGATAATCTAAGTCAGGCAAGCTGGGATGTTCGGCCACTGATTACACAATCTTAATATTTAATAAACACCTCATAGTATTACTTTCAGCCCTCAAATTTGATAATCCGATAAAAAAAGGAATGTTCTTAGAGATATTATATATTAGATTTGTATTCTTTTGGTTATGCTACTAAACCACAGACCCTTTTAGTGAGAAGGAAAAATATCTTCATTTTTCCCTCCTGGTACTGTGGTCTTTGAGCATTATGTTTTATAAGATAAAGTAAATGAGCACAGGAAGCCAGTCAGTTGCACTAAATTACATTGCGGAACTTAGCTCCAAAGCTCAAAATTCTGCGCCCTGAATTTCTAGCAGATGTTTTGCTAACAGAAACCTGAAGGGCTGGCTGCCTTCTTGCCTTCTAGAATTTGATCTGACTTCTATTTCAGATTTACCAGGGCACTATTATTACCACGTTTCAGATAAGAAACCCTGTGAAGTTTAGAGGCTTTTTCCTAGTTAACGTTAATCTTCATGCTCCTTTTCTAACAGCCTAAATACCAGTCCTGATGGCTAGTCATGTGGTTAGGTCCTTTTTGTAAAGATTTCTTTAGATTTTCAAGAAGAGATCCAGGTATTCATTAAGTTAGCATTTGGAATTTCTGTGTGCTGCAGTAACTAAGCAACAGTTGAGATGTTTTAATTTAGCATGTCCTGTATTGGCAAGTTTAAAAAAAGAACTGGGGAGCCACACTTGGCAGAACCTGCTTTGGGCCCTCCCACCCTCGCTACAGTTCCTGTACATCTTGGCTGCCCCTCCCCTGTGAACAGAGACCTCTCTGTGCTGGCCACTCTGACAGCCCGGTCTGAGTCTCTCCTTCCCGTGACAAGGCAGTCTCTTCAACTGTAGGCAGAACTGCAACTAATAGTTTGACTATTTAGCTTTTATAATTCTCATTTCCATATTTGAGACCTACTGTAAATTGCTACAACTTTGAACATTGTTTATTTAAAAAAAATAAGCTCTAAGCAGTGATTTCAAAACTGTTTTTATGTATCAAATTATAAGGACATGTGCATTTCAAATCGCTCTTTAAAATGAATATACAATAAAATTCATTCAATGACATAACATGTGTGAAATGTCTGCTAGAAAACATTTAAGAATTGTTAGATCAATTGGACTTCCCAATCACACTGTCTTAGAACTCCATCACAAAGGCAACTGTGAAAGGTACATGTAACTCAGAAAGGTCCTGAGGGAAGCAGCTTTCTGTAATACCATAGCTTAGAGTCCTCTTTAGATTCACCCTAGCATTCTCATCTCAGTTCTACAACACAGGAACTGTGACTTCTGTAACCTCCTAGCCTTAGTTTTATCATCTTCAAGCTGGGGCTGAGAACTGTCATTTTCTTCCAAGTTTCTTGAAACTTAGTTGAGATGCCATGTGTGAACTGCTTAATAGTGTTAACTAGACTTATTTCTATCTCAGAGACAGAATCTCAAAGGCAGGGTTGAAGGAGCTTAAGTTGTTACAGTTCCAAACAGCTAACAATATTAGCGCCCAGGAAATGCAGGTATACTACATGAAACTCAGATTAAACTGACCTCTTCAATTATTTAACAGTTGAGTTATTTAATTTTTTTTATAGCTTTGGAACCCTACTCAGTGGTATCTTAAGAGGACAAATCAGGCTGTCTTATGGAAAAGGTAAAGGTCTATAGAGGTGCTAAGGCACTACACAAAAAGTGGACTAGAGGGCTTCCCTGGTGGCACAGGGGGTTAAGCACAGCAGTATGAAGCTGTCCACAGCCACTGCAGCATGAGTTCATTCGATCCCAGCCAAGTAGGTGACCCACATGGTACAGCAGACCTCTCAGGCCTTGTCTGCTGCTCCCTTCAGCAGTGTATTTCAGACAATCTGCCTGTTTTGCTACCCACTCTCTCTGGTGAACCTTCTCACCCGCTGTACCTCTGGCCTGCACCCCAGTTTTTGTGTGCATAAATAAATCTTTTTTTTTAAAGTGGGCTAGATAACTTGAGCAAATTATAATCTAAGGGCACACCCTTCTTATTAAAGTCCTTCATTTATGTAGTAGCACTCTGGGTATTTACTTAACCTCTTGGAAAGGGTTTTTTAAATACTAAAAGAAGCTATCTTTTTAGCCTAACAACCTAATCTTTAACCAGTGAAGCATAACAAAGAACATGACCATAGCAAATAGCTTAACAAAATGTAAAACTTCCTCGTGTTGACACTAACACTTTAAGCGTGACTTAAGAATTCTAGGTGGCCTGAGATTCTATTTTACTTGTGAATCTATGATTATGATGTCAGCGAACAACTAAAAGACATGGTCATCACAATCAATTTTAGAGTATGAAAGTTAACATTTTTTTGGTTCTCCCAAACAATTTCTTTAAATATTATGAACTAAATTGTGTCCAAATTCCTATGTTGAACCCCTACCCCCAGAAAATGGTATTTAGAGATTGGACCTTTGAAGTAATTGGGTTTCAACAAGGCCGTGAGGTTGGCCCCCATGACTGGATTAGTGCCCTCATGAACAAGAGAACTTCCTTCCTTCCTCTGCCCTATGTGAGACACACCAAGGTCTGGAAGTCAGAAGTAGTCCTGCTTGGGAAACCAAATGGACCAGCAGTGTAATTAATTACTCCTCAGCCTCCTAAACTGTGAGAAATCAATTCCTGTTGTCTAAGGCATCCTGTTATCTTGCTATGGCAGCCCCACCTAACAGTAAGTAAATTTTGAACTCTATTTTGCCTTCCATATCTGAAGCAATGGATTGATAGAAGTTTTAGTATGGTGGTTAAAAAAATAACAGACCTGCTTGAGAAGCAGAGTGCCCAGGCAAGGAAATGTTCATCAAACCAGTGTCCCTTCATGATGGGAGAAATAATTATCCCTGGCTCCAGAATGGTCTTACTGTATTTCACCTATTTCTTAGTTCCATTTTAGGTGGGTAGTTGTAGAGGTTCTGAAACCAGATATCAAACACAAAAAAATTTGTAGTTGCATTTTATCCAGTTATAAGGCAAAGGGAGAAACTCCTTTAAAAAGTGGAATATTCTGCAAATTATTCATTCATCATAGCTCTACACACACTGGGGTTCCAAGAAATGCCAGTAAACTCCCTCTGGAAAGGAAATGGAAAACCAAGTTTAACAATGTAACCCTCACTAATGAACAGTAATTATGAAGAGTAAACGTAGCTTTTACAAGAGAGGGTGGTGGCAGCCAGGACAGAGGGTTGCCCTCACTCTAACTCTGCATGTGCAGACAACCTGGTTACCAGAGTGACAGCTTGGAGGGAATCCTCACAGGGATCCTGGGCTGCTAAAGGGAGATATGTGCAGAAGGGGCGGTGTCTAGGTAGCCACTTAAACAGGGAAAGCAGGTTATACAGAGATGGACATCTTTGGCCCTTCTTTCTTTCCTTATGACAACAAATTTGTGGTTAATTAGGGTCAAGGCTTGCTCAGAGAAGCCTAACACTGGACCTAGAGAATAAGATACATGGAAAACCAATGAAACCATGAAAATACATTTGTAAAAAGTTTTCAGGTGAAATACACAGAAGCAAACAACTTTTATATTTAAAAATATCGAGTATCACATCCATAGACTATTCCTAATTAAAATTACTTTGTAAAGCAATATTTGTCTTTGTTTACAAATACAGCAGCAGGTGATTGCTTATAGTTCATAATACAAACAAATGTGTATGTCTTAAATCACATTTTAGGCAGTTTAACTTAAAATGCATAGAGTTATATACACTAGTCATTAAGTCAATGAAAAATATCACAATACCAAGAAAAAATGCAAAATACTTTTATAGAACACACATAAAAGTCAAGTTTACTTAATGGCAACAAATCAGTATCTGCTAAACAGTGACAGGCAGTGAGACTGCCTTTATCCAGGGGAAAAGTAGAGGGAAAAATATCCATTGCTTTGCAGACTTGAACTGTTGCACTGACAAACACTATATTCTTGAAAAACATTAATTTAGGTACACCATACTTTGCCCCATAAATGCCCAAAGCTGGCCTATAATTTCTACCAGCAGCAATACTAGGTAAACTAGTAAGGAATTCTGCAAGCCACCGCCAGCTGCGAGCCTCTCCAGGACAGGCCTTCCCTCTCGTCTTCGTCTCTGGCATGGGGCAGAGCACCGGGGTCAGGACAGTGTCTGTGAAGTGAATGCCTTCCTCATACAGTTTCTATGGCCAGAGCTTGCCTGGCACTTCTCTACTACTACTTTACTGGCAATTTTTGTTTTACTTGGCAGAATTCTGAAAATGAAAAGAATATTGTCTGTCTCGAACACTATAATATTGCTTATTAAGCTTTAATCGTAGACTTCCCAGAAAGCCTTCCACCACTTTCTCTGCACAGTACAGTGTATCAGTGTGATTCATCTGAATTTAGCCTTATGGTTTTCAAAAACTTAAACACTTGGAGGTCTGTGTTTAATTTCCAGGGTTCCTAACCCTGACATTCTATAAAGTTAGCACTAGATTATTCCAGGTGAGGAAGAAAGACATTGGCACTAATGACATACAAGTGTTGGCAACTGATTTTTATGCAAACTAGGCACAGCATTTTAATGGAAACTGCGTAGCATTATTTTTCATCTACACAAAAGCTTCAAAAGCTGTGCATTTGAGTACAACAGGTAGCATTAATTATCTGTGAGGTACAATATGATTGACAAAACTGACTTCTTTCCTATAAAACATTCCAATCATCCACTACAGTGGTGTGACCAGTCAAGGCCAAATATTCATCCCTTTTTCTCTGTGCTGTTATTCTCTACTGAAACAATAAACAGCAAAGGTGATATAAGGAGGCCCTTGGACAATTAAACTATGTACTATATGTTCCTGAAAAACTCATACATTATACACACGAACAGGGCTGTGAGGTAAGAGCTACAAACAGCCATCTTCAAAAGCACGAAAAGGTGTCAGACTGAGTCTAGATAGACAAGCCAAAGTACTTTAAGCACTTCTTAAAGGACACTGCTTATTGACAACTGAGTGTGCAAATGAGGCCCTAAGGTCTTGGTTTCGTGGTTCAGTATTCATCTAAAAGTCTAATACCATAAACATTACTTCTTAACTTATCTCAACTATCTTCATCAATTTTATTTTAAACATTTTGCCCAGAAAGTCCAAGTGCCAACAAATTCCAGACTTTTCATCCCCTCAGAACCCAGCAGATTCCCTAACAATGTCTTCCATAAGCCAATCTCAGCCTAGCATGACTTGTTTTGAAAGAAACATTTCCTTGTAAGGAGAAAATAACCTTTGTCGGTTTCCCCTAGGCTTCCAATGAAACAATTTCTATCTTTCTTGGCTCCAATCTGAACCTAATAATGCTGTTTTGACCTAGCATACCAAGAACTGAGACTCCTTCCACCTCTAATTTATTTGAGAAATGATAACCTAAAGAATTAAAAGGAATATAAAATCAAATTCTATTTCCCCTCAATTTCCAGTCTTACATAAAAAAAAAAATCCCAACTATCAATAGAAAAGTCCTTGAGAAGCAAAGAAAAGTGAAAGTCAGAATAGCATCATCTGGGGCATGCTGAGGTAAGGGACAGTTCACAGTCAATAAACTCACTCGGTGGAGTAATTTCAAATTCTATGTTCATAAGTCCTTTGGCAAAAGATTTTCTCTGAAAATCAATGGACTCCATAATTACAGATTCCTAAACTGGCTAACTCTCCTTTAGTTAAACATTATTTTCTGTAGTGTTACAATTCTTCTAAAGCCTGAGTAGTCAACTTATCCCAACAGAGGGCAACTGAAATAACCACAGCAGAGAGATCTTTGCTGCCATCACTTTTCCTATCATATTAGCCCTTAGAGAAAGCTGATGTTTCGATACTGGTGGGCAATTTAAATTATGATACCTTAAGATTTCCTGCCTTTTAAACTGGAGGCTGCTTTGATGACAGATTTCAAGAAAATTGTAGACAGCTGCCCCGCCTTCCTTGGCAAGGGAGAAAAAAGAAAAAAGACCACTTGTGCCATTACAGAAGATGTGTCTAACAACACTGCCCAGTACGAAAATACCTAAACAAAAAGTTTCAATTCTGAAAATTTGAATTTACCATCTAGTTAAAGGGAAGCTTAAAAACAAGGTTCCTTTCAAGGGTGACCATCTCACTTTCTTAAAAGGAGGTAGCTATCAAACCATTAAGTTGGTAGCATTTGACACTGACATTTTAACTCTAAGAAAAATAAACCACTACATCTTTTATTTCCCTGCAAAAACAAGAGTGCTAGGATAAATCTCTCTCATACTGGTCAAGAAATTAGTAATAGTAATATATTTTGTAACACAAATGCATACGTTCAAAGTTAAATGTTATTTAACAAATAATGTGGTCAGTTCTATTCCAAACCTAAGTTGGATTTAAAGATAAGGGGCCAAGAAGCACTTGGGCTATTTTGGTGGTTACAAACAACACTGAATTAAGTAATTGCAAAAATCTACACTACTGTTTTCAGTGTTGGAGAATAATTTTTAAGGAGGCACTCAATACTACTTATTTACCTGTCAACAAACAGAACTGAACTTTCCGACACTCAGGAAACTCTGCAGGGGACAATGACACAGCCTGACCAGACTGTGATGCATACTTTGATGGCACTGTACAAAGAGAGCAGTCATGGCTGTATGACTAAGGTTCTCCAAACATAACTGCGCCATGTGTTTATGAGACTCCCTAGAGTGTGCCAGTTTTCAGAACCAGGGAGAGAAATTAGGGATGTATTTCTTCTAAAGAAGGAAGGAGCGGGTCTACAGAGGAGGGTCTGCAGAGGATGGTCTGCGTGGTGTTTGCGGGAATGCAAATTACTTGAAGCAATTCCCAGGGTTCCTCTAGTTTCAGATTCAAGACAAAGGAGAGAAGTCCCTCTGTGAGCTCCTCCAAAGCTATATGCACATCTCGTAATCTGTTCTAAAGCAACCTCTGAGAATATAATTTATATACTTGACGGCCTGTATTAAAAAGAAAAACGTTTTTTTTCATAAATGGCAGATTTTAGAGCTGTATGACCCATCCTGCTAACTATAAAACAAGTTAGGTAGAACTCAAAATAAACAAAAAAGGCTTTTACTAAAACCTCAAAGATAAAAACGAACATTGCTTGGGCTAATGAAGGCATCATCTCACAATAATCACCAAGAATTTAAAAATGTATATTCAAAATTAACCTCAAAAGGGCCACGTTTATTTATCCTACAGTTAAAGCAGCTCAAGATGTTGAGAGGCATCATTTGTTTAAATTATGACAATATGATTGTTTTCAAGTGTGTTTATTTAGGGAACAGTAATTATAGAAAAATACTTCAAATAATTTCCCAATCAAGTTCCAGATTTTAACAATAATCCATATCACCTTAGATTTTGTGTAATTTCATAATTTAAACAAGTCAAAGAATCGTTTTAAACAAGTAATATCAAAGCGCTATCAATATACTTAATCACTTTAACTTTTCATAAAAACCAAATTAAAAATTACATATGATTTACTTTTACATTTTTGACTGACTGTATCCATCTGATGTACTATGATCCAAGTACAAGAGGCAGATATCTTCTCTGAGAAGTGCAAGGTTGTTCTCTCATGAATGCCCTCTAATAGTGAAACCAGCAATTTTTATATATGCACTCACATGCATATATATGTACTTCAAAAAGCAAAGCGTCATCTCTTCATCCACTGTTAACTTAATGGTAAGACTGCAATAGAAAGAAGAAAAAGTAAACGTCTGGATTTTGTAAGTGGAGTTATTAAATCCTTACTGTGGCTTAAAAGAAATTATTTGCTTAAAAAATCCAAACAGCAAGTCATGTTTAGTTTGACACATGATTTGCAAAAATAATTTGAGTATGTAGTAAGGATGCCCAAAGCTGAAAGGAATTTTGGGGCACTTTTAAGATTTTTTTCTTTATAGCTGAGGTGGATATTTTATTAATCTAAGTGATCTGATCAGTTATTTTGTTAAGAATAGATACATTTTTCTCTCACAGGGAATTTTGGCTCTGTATTTAAGTACTTGGCTTTTACTTCATGGTGGAAGAGGAGTTTTCTATCTGGTCATGTGCCCCTAAGACAAGCTCCTCTCAATTATGTCAATTCTATTCCAACTTGGCTGTCAGAAAAAGTGCAAAGCATTACTCGTAACTGGTAATGCAAAACAGTGGTATAATCAATCTTGAGCTCAGTGCTGCTAATGATCTTAACAAAACCTTGGCTGAGAAACATTGCGTAGCTACATGAGAGATGTGCGATTTTATACTCATTGCTTTGGATTTTCTGAAAATCTACCTGCATACCAAGCCAGACAGGCAGAACTTGCTTTTTACTGAGATGTACTTTGGTATGATGCTACAAAATATTATTGAGAAATGTCTAAAAAAGAAAAAGAAAAAAACTCCAATGAAATGTGTCTCTGAGTTTATCTCAAGGACATAACATTGAGGACCCTGGCTTACTATATTACACAATCTCTGGGGAATCCTTGGGAAATTACTCTATTTCCTGGTAGCTAACATACCAGGAAAAACTAACTTATGATTTCCATTATTCAAAAATGCTTTACCTGAAATTTGAGATTTAGACACCTCTTTTAAAGTTTTTAAAACTCTAATTTTCCAACCAAAAACGGAGACAAATAATCCCTACACTGCACTTAAGTGACTGTTAGTGCATGTTAAATAAGAAATTAAAGACTTACATGGGGGCCGCCAGGCATCGGTGGAGCACCAGAAGGTCCTGAAGGCACTTGGAAAGGATTATTTGGAGTGGGATAGAGTCCTGGTGTGGGATATGACCCTGCAGGGCCAGGATATGGTGCTGGTGGTCCCCAGGCTCCTGGTGGCACAGTGCCCCATGGAACAGGTGGTGCTGTCCCTGGTGCCTGGGGAGGAGGAGCAGGATATGGCCCTGGAGATGGATAGGGCATGTTAGGGGTAGGGTACTGGCTGCCTATTCCTGGTGCCCATGGTCCAGAAGACATCGATCCCCACGGACCTAAAGGACCAGCTGCAGATGGATCTGTGGGTGCACCATACGGTCTTGGAAGCTCTGGAAAGGGCATATTTGGTGTAGGATATGGCCCTGCAGGGCCAGGCCCTGGCACAGCTGGGGCTGGATAAGGACCACTGGGAGGGGGGCATGATGGTCCAGAATGAGGAAAGGGTGCAGGGGGTCCTGGAGGTGGTCCGGTGGGAGGCACAGAGGGATACATTCCTGTTGGTGCTGGTCCAAAAGGCACAGTGGAGGGTGTTGCACTTGGTGGGAGTCCAGATGGCACAGAAGGTGGAGCACTTGGGTTGTTCCAAGGGTTGGACCCTGGCCAGCCTTGTGGAGGTTGGCCAGGCTTTGTATTGCTCACAGCAGAGGTTTTGGCAGGGGAGTGGTCAGGTAGCGCATCTGCCAACTGGAACACAAAACAGGTCTGTTTTATCAGTCTTACTCAGGGACAAAGAACTACACGCCCATAAAGTACAGTATGCTATAGGGTCAAGGTTGATAAACCTCTACTAACATCTGTAAAAGGTAAACTGCTGAGTTCAAAAACATTTAATGCAAAACACGAGGGGTAAGCTTGACTATGAACTGTACAACTGCAAATTCCAATGAGAAGCTTCAGTTTTCTAAATGTAATTAATCAACATATTGTGGATTTGAATCCTGGCAAACATGTTACATATCCACTTTGAGTTCAGCTTCCTCAAGCTTAAATGAGATGATTTGTACAATACACTCAGACTGCTTGGTCTGTAACTGTCAACTAACATTCACTATTATTAACATTTTATTATGCTAAAAGAGACAAATAGAAACACATTAAAAATTTCTAGTTCAAAATTTAAAAAAGTGCTACTGGATTTATTTTTAAACATTGTTATCTAAGTATAATTTAAGGCAAATCATCTATGGAAATAAAATTGCCTGCCACACCCCCACCAAAAAATCCTCTTAAGAATAACAAAAAGTTATTTCCTTTAAAGTAAAAGATTCATGGCATAAAATTAAGACTGTATTGCTTTTCTTAAAAGCTAGAAACTTATGAAGAATAAATTGACTTACTGAAAATTCTTCAGACATTTTCCTAAAACAAAAACAAAACAGAGAAAGGAATATTTAAAAACCAGTGTTTACCATCATTTAAATAACTGCCTATGCACACATCTCTTAAACAGAATCTGAATCATTCATGTGATTTTCTTTTATATAGGAAAACTTTCCATAATGGTTTATACAGCTTATCACTTTCATAGGTGTGGGTGTACATCACACATATGTGAGTCATAATTTAGCTTCATGCCGGTGGCAGTATTGCTGGCTTATATTTTCGGTTGTTTCAAACAATGAACAGTGAACACCTCTGAACACATCTCTTTGTCCACATGTGACTTTATCACTGGGGAAAAGCACTAGAAGTGAAGTTTACAGTCAGAAGGCAGTGTTATCTAAACCCATATGAAATGTCCGCTAGTCTTCTACCACTGGATATTATTAAATTTGTAAATTGTTTTCAATTATAGTGTATTAAAAATAGCCATCTTGTTTTGACTTACATTAAGTGGAAAGTCGAGCATCTTTTAAATTTAACATTTATATTCTTTCCTCTGTTCTTGAACCACTTTGATCAGTTTTTAAAACTGAAGTATAATTAATGCGCAGTAAAATGCATTGGCCCAAGTGTGCAGGTCCATCCACGACATGGCCCATTTCCCTCACTCTGGCTTTACTGTCCATTCCAATCTACTCCCACTCTCGGCCAGTGCTCACTTTTGGTTTCCCCTCGTTCCCTGACTTCAGAGACAGTATGTACTCTTTTTGCCTTTGATCATTTTACTACTTAGAGCACATCTTTTTTTTTTTAAATGACCTGTAAGAGAAAAAGATAGCACTCACTTATGAAACAAAAAATCTTACTCTGAATTCCCTCTTCTGTAGTTTTTTAAGTGTATGTATTTTAGCACTACACAAATTTTAGTTTTATAAAGTCAAATTTATCAATCTTTTGCCTACAAGCGGCTTCTGGATTTTACTGCATTTACAAAATAACTATTATTTCCTATAGTAATTTTATGCTTTAACTTGTTTAAAATCTTTCTGTTCTTCCAAATAATAAAGCTGAAAAATGTATCATTTCTCAACTTATTTGGCAAGCCACCTTGAATACACTCCACTTATCATTTCACAGGCACCATGCTAAATACCAAGTGCTTTAGGCGCAGTTTCATTTAATAGTCCCAATGTCCTACTGATGAAATTTGTTTTATCACTCCCTGTTTACAGCTGGAACACAGATGGCAAGTTAAGGTCACAGAGCTAGTGACAAGTACAGAAGGGGGTCAAACCCAGGGAGAGTGTGACCTGAGTAAAGGCTCTTAACCACTAGGCTACAGAGACTCCATTTCCCATAGTATTATGGACACTGTGGTACTGATTTGCCCTGTAACATTCCATCTTAATAATGGCTTTATCTTTAAACAAGTTTTCACGTCAATTCATTTACTATTGCTGTTCTTTCTTTTCATGCTTTCCTCCATATTCCCTTGTTTGTTTGTTCAGATCATTTTGTAATAAAAGGCTGCTACTTTGGTTATAACTGCAATAAATTTACAGATTTACTTAGGGACACATATTTTTGAAACATCGAATCTTGCCATTCAAAAACAAGGCATGTCTTCTTAGTTCCCCGGACTATCATTTAATTATTTTAAAAGTAAGGTCCCCTAACATTTCTTGTGAAGTAGATTTCTGACTAATAAAATTTTTTTTGAGGTCGTAAATTTTCTGACATATATCCTATTTGGTAGTTTAGTAAGGTCTTAAATTTTAGTCTATTTTTGTAAAAAGTAACATCACTAAAGACTTATTCCCAAAAGTTTCTCAGTTGATTCCCTGGGATTTCCAACTTAAGAATTATGCCATTTACAAAAAGTAATTTTACTCTGCCTTTCCAGTATTTACACTTCTTTTCTCTTTTGCAATGGCTGTGATATAAACAATAATGAAATGTTAAATGGTAATTGTGAGCACAGTAGTCATGGCCCTAATCTCCAGGGAATGCAATGTTTGTCCAATTATTTTTAGTTTGAGATCAGAAAAAAAAATAACTAAGGACATTTCTATTTATGCCCATCCCATGTTGCTATCTTTATTCCTCTTTTGCTAGTCCCCCAAAAAAAAATTAAAAAAAGAGTAAATTTCTTAAGCACCTTGGGCATTTAATGAGTTGATCCTGGATATCTTCTTTGATTTGCCAATAGTTAGGTATATGAACAGATTACCTAATATTGAGTTCACACTTGCATTCTTACCATTTTAATTTTTAAGTATGATTTGGTTAACATGAGGAGGGACAAAGAACAGCAGTCTACTAAATCACAACTGCTGTATCTTTGTTGTTTATGTTAAGGTTTGTTTTTTATACTAAAGGTCAGTCTCAGGACCGACAACTGAAGGAACTTTACAGGTTAGAGTCCACATAAGATAGCTTTTCAAACAAGATGAATCTTTTTATAACAGAAATGACTATGTCAAAGTTCACTTAATTCTGAAGCAGAGAACTGAACACAGCATGCCATTCAATTTCATATGGTCTTGCTGTTCCAGGTTTTTAGAATTACCTTTTTTCCCTCTAATTTTCAGATTAAAATATATGTAATAGGTAGTAGCTAGTCACAGAATTAATTAAAATATGCTATTCCACAGTTAATATTAAATTGACTTAAAAGGCTTTCAAAATTTTAAATTCAGAATCAAATCCTAGCAGAGGAGGGACTAGAGTCAAGCCACTTCCTATTCTATGGCACTGCTCAAAATAGTGTCCTGCTCTCCATGCCTAGAATAAACAGTGCTTCTGTTAAATGGAAACATTCTAGCTTACTCTGGGGGATACTTTCATGATAAAAAGGTGAGAAAATAGAGTTGGTCGTGAGTATTTCAATGACATTAACTGCAGTATGTAAAATACCTAGATTTTCTAAAAAATGATTCCAAAATATCTGAAATACGCTAGTTATTAAGATGAGGTCAATGGAACATTGAGCTACACCCTTCCCCAAAGTTTTATAATCAAGAAAAATTTTTACTTTTCTTTTTTTTAATACTCAAAAGTATTATTTGCAAAACTTCCCATTACCTCTTTATTGCAGAATCTATGTATTATCTGAAAAATAATTATCTTATTTTCTGAGTAATTAGAATAGTAATTTGAAATACAAGGTTTTTTCCATACTTTAGAAAAGTAAAACAACTTTTCTGTAATTCCTATGGCCTTAGAGTAAAAATGGCAATTTAATCACAGAGTGCTTTTAGAAGTTGAAATTCATAAATTATTAGTGCTTTATATATGACAGAAAATTTAGGAGGACCATCAAATTGTGCTGGGAGTGAAACCTGGACATCAATTTTTGACTGCGCTTTGATAAAAGCTTTTTAACCAAAGATAATTTTCTCAGTTGTAAAGCAGTTATTTCCTGATTATGTCACAGGTGAAAAAAAAAGCAACATGTTTAAATCCATATAGTGACACAGAGATGTAAGGTATTTATTAGGAGAAACGAAAGGTAGCAAAATTTTTGCACTGATTTGTTTAGAACTGTTTTGTTTTACATTGATTTGTTTAGTGAGGAAGAACTGTTACATATGGTGTTTAAAACAGAAGTTTTGAATTAGAATATAAAAGTTTCCAGGGTCAGCTCTATTGTGCATTTCGGTAATTCAAGAAAGTGGGGGTTTGATAGTTCTGAACATTGTGCATTTCTTTAAAACATGTAATTTTAAAGTTGTTTTTTTTTAAACATCTTTTCATGAGTCATACTTCCTACCTGTATTCAGATACTTACGGGAACATATGTGTCCAGCACTATTGCTGGGTTTTGAATAGTATAAGGAATACATATGTAAGGTTACAATGGGGTGGAGAATTACCATTTAAAAAATTACCTGCCCTGGGGTAAGTACACAGCTTTATGGGAGTACCACCTCAAAAAGCTCCTGAAGGAATCAAGGACATATGTACTAGGGGAGACCTGAGAAGTGGTTCCTTTGCAGTCTGGAGGATGAATGCAGAAAGAGCCAAGTAAGGATTGATGGATAGGCCTGAGAGAAATGAGGCCGGGTTGTACAAAATCAGAGGGACACAACTGTGGGGAGTGTAACGCCTTACGATATTTGGGAGTACAAAAGTTGAAGGGTATGTTAAGTTTCAGCAGAGAGCCCTGAGACCGAGGTGTCAATCAGCTCATCTGAATCAACTTTAGGAATGGGCCAACCCTACTGATCAGGTTACCTGGGGCCCATACATGCCTAGAGTAGCAGTGCTAGGAAAACAGCAGGTGGGCAACCAGTATCATATTCTAGATCAAACTGCAGCTCTTTACTGGCTGCCTGTGAGCAAGAAGAACTGGTCAAACCAGAGATAAGAGATAGAGTAGTATCCAACCCAAAGATATAGCAAATACGTTATTACAATTGATATACAGGGCTACACATCTTTACCTGTAGTTCTCACTGAGAAACCTCTGAAAATGAAAGAAACTTGCCAAGATCATCATGAAACATTTGTGGCAAGACTTGAACTGAGTCTGTCTACCCTTTTCATTAACTCACACTTACATTATGCTGGATACCCAAATAGCAATGCTGGATAGGGGGCACGCGGCCCTGACCCTGCAGGTGTGATTTCTGTCTATGCACCTTTCTGTTTTTCCAAAATCTAAAGATAAAATCCAAAGATTAATGCATTCCAAAACAGTGGCCCCAAAAGATTTTGGTTAAGAGATGGTCCTCCTCTGGGAGGGAAGAAAAGAACATTCCAATAACCCAGCTCAAGTTCCTGAGACAAGCTAGTTTTGAGTAGGAGGTTCAGAGATGTCACCAGGAAGGAGATATTCTTTTTCTCCTGCCCAGAGAACTGTACAGAACAAAGAACTTCTGAAAGGTTCCTGAAAACTACCTTGGCCTGCAATGAGCAAGTTTTCAAAAGAGGCCTCTATAACCACCAAGTATGTCAGTGTATTTCTCCAGTAGTAAATGCTACCCCAAAATCACCTCCCCCATCAGGTGAGCCTGGTCTGATGCTCCAACATTAGACTCATTATGTTACGAGCACTGGTCTTGGTTCTCAAAGAGGAAAAACGGCTCAGCTATTTATAAGCCCCAGGGATAACCTGGGATTTACATTACTGTACAAGAGTACTAAGATCCCGGTACCTCTCCCAGCTGCAGTCCCGAGCGCTCACAGTGGATTCACTAGCAACTTCTCTAAAAAGTAATGAACAAAACGTCACATGCGGATCTTAAACAATCTGTTCAGGCCTATCTCTATCCCCTTATTCGAAATTAATGATGGGGGGAGCTGGGGGTCGGGGTAAAGGGGCTCAGTCCCGCAGTCCTTTAGGGCCAAACGAACAAAAGAAGAGTCCAGGATCAACCGGAGCGAACCGGCCTCGGAGCGGGTCTCACCCGCCCGGGAAAAAGGTGGGGGAGGGGCTGGGTCCTCTCCCCGCCCCGCCCCCCAGCCCGGCCTGACGTCAAGCGCCGAGGAACCCTGCTGGCCCAACGTCACTCGTCTCGAACACCTCCCCCAGGGAACGATCGGGGGGGGGGGTAGACCGCAGCCGGGGCGGGGGGGGGGGAACGGGGGCGGAGATGACCGGGAGAAACGCTCAGTGCGGACCCCCAGAGTAGACGCCAGGCGGCTGCGTTACCACGCCCGCCTCCCCCTGAGGCGCGCTTCCTCTCCTCACTCTAATCCCCCGTCAGTAGCCTCACCCGGCAAGATCCGAGCCCGCAGCGGCGTGTAGAAGCGGCGATGGGTCCGAAGAAACCGGGCACTGAAGAAGCGAGCGGGCGCTGACAGACCGCGGCGGAGACGGCGGCGGCAGCAGAAGGAGCAGCAGCGCGCGGATCCTCCTGGCGCCGGAACAGGAAGGGCCGAGCACCGAGCGCGCCGCCCAGCCGGCACCCCCTCCCCTCGGGGCCTGGTCGCGCGCGCCCCCTGCAGGCCTGCGGCGGCGCCGCGGCTCTTCGCGCCGGCGCGCTGGCCACGGCGTTCTGCAGCGGGCGGGAGGAAAACCCCGGGGTTCCGGAGTTTGGAGTCCCGGGAGGGAACGCTGTTGCCCGGGACGTTCGGAGCAGCAGGACGGAAGTTGCCGCTTGTTGAGTGGTGTGGGGGCAGGTTCAGGATTCCCTTTCCGGCATTGCTGCTGGGAGGGCTTGGGTGCAGTTCAACTCGCCGACAGGCACTCGGCTTAAAAAAAACTGGGAAGAGCAAAAGGAAATACACGAGAATGCGATGACTTTGGCAAATGGCTTGACAAGTTGATAAACCACCATTTGCAGGGTTTTTTCCTGGATCAACGCCTCTTCTCCCTACATGTTCATTTTGAAATAGACCTCTAAGCACCTACTGTGTCCAAAGATTTATAGCCCCGTCCGACAAGAAACCTGCTAGCCGGTAATTGAAGATGTCATAACTATATGGTATATACTTGTAGTACATATTTATATGTAATACATTAAACGTATGCTTCCTTGTGTAAACCGTTAGTCGGTCAGCGCGTGGACGTTTTACTAATAGTGTACTGTCAGACATTTCTGGCCTTGGCCAGAATGGTCCACAGTACGGAGTTCTCATAGCGTGAAACGATCCAGAGGAACACAAGACACCTTTTTGGATAGGGTGTAAGGGAAATGCCATTGGCGTGGAGTTAAAAGTCCGAGACAACATGGAAAAGTGCATTGTTTACAATTTTAATATTCTGTTACTCATAGGTATTTCTTACATTAATCCTGAGCTTTGAATGTTGCCCCAAAATATTATGTTCGTCACTGATTTTGTTGAAAAAAGTTGTGGTCTACTGCTTCACTCTACTGGTTTTGTGTGGCTGTTTCAAGCGTATTTCCCTCTAGCTCTCAGCTGGTGACTGAGCAAGGTGGGAACTGTAGAGCTGAGTCATCCTATCCCGTGTGGGCTCCCACAGGCAGTATTCAGAGCTCACTCTCATTGAGACCCGTACTGCCATCTGAAGTACACCCTACCCAGTTTCCCTTCTAGTTCTTGGACGGAAGTCAGACCTGAAATGTGGTATGAAGATTCTGTTGCTCTCTCTTCCGTATAAATCACATGGACATCTAGTTTTATCTTACCTGTTTATGGAAGATCCAAACAGTAGTGTATTTTAGGTTAGAAAATGTGTAAGAATGCAGATCTAATAAAAATTTTTTTTCAGAATAAGTTACATGTGAAGGATAAATGTTTTAAAAACAAAAATACAAAGTCTTTGGATTTTATATAAGAAGTTTTAATTAAGAAATGAAAATTTACTCAGGACAATTTATTTGAACTCACATCCAAGAGGAAACATTAAACTTCAGGGTTAGAAGTAAAAAAAGAAAGTCTACTACTTTTTGGGTTAAGTGGTGGATCATACAAACCTGATTTGACAGTTAACTCTGTATTTTCAAGTATGTCTCAAGTTCATACGTGGCTTATTTATCCAATTCAAGCAAAGTCAGCATAATTTAAGTAAACCTCCTTGAGTTTTACACTCTAAGTATGAAAGCTTAGATTTGATTATAACCATGGTAAAAGTGATTATCTTTACTTCCTGCAAATGTAATCAACTTTTAAAACAACTTAAGCAAACATCAATTTTACATAGACCTTATTAAGGATAGGAAATTGCAACTGTCCATCTAATTGCAGAGTCTAAACCATAAATCCAAATTTGTAGAATTATCTCTACTGTCAAATTAAGCCAAAAAAAAAAAAAAGCTTATTACAGATTAAAGGAAATGAATGTGAATCTGCAGAGTTCACTAAGGGGCTAGTTTGAAAATCTATCATCACATTAGTGCTTAATAGTTGTACAGCAATTATTTTCAAGTATGCTTTCTTAAGAAAGTCAAACAGCAATAATTATTATCTACATTTTACATGTTTAGGAAATGAAGTAAAGGTTTAGGATTCAGTAATTACTCAAAACTAAAAGGTAAATAAAAAATAGACTTTGGCTTTATTTGAAATAGAATTCATGTGCCCTAAATCCCTTTCCATTGGGTTATACCCATTAGCCTGTATTTTTCAGAAGTCAATCTATTATTTTTAAAAAGTCATCTCCATTTTGTGTCCAGTTTCTCAACATTTTAGGATAGTTTAGGTAGACTCTTGTTGTAATGTTCATTTACAGTAGGCCATTAAAAAAGAAAAGACCATTGTGCTTTCTGTTTATTCTTTAGAAAAATGAAAGTAAAGCTATTAAAACAAAAATATATAAAGGTTTTTTTCAAAGTAGAAATTTTATTCATTTGGACACTGTAAGTTACCTAACAGTTTACATTTAAACATGTTCTCCTTATGTTGTATTCTGGAATGTCTTATAATGAAGTCCACTTTCCTGTGAAATTTACTCTATCAAAATCAACATATATGTAACCTATTTGACTCCAATTATAGTCAAACGTGACAAAAGATTTCTAATGAAAACTAAGTATAAAGAGCTAGCTCTCAGGATTTTTGTTTCATAGGAAGGAAGTTCTCTATTACGAGGATCTATAAAATGATCCAAACTTCATAGAGACAGGAAGCTGATAACTTGATTTATCTTAATGGCTTTGACTCATGAATAAATAATGATTTGCTTTTTTCTTACAAAAAGAAATGGAATTTGTGTAATGATACAAATCCTATTTGCCACATTTGCTCTACTTTTTAAAGATTTTCTAATCACCAAGATAGTCTTTATAATATTTATAATAAATCAAAACTTTAACTGAGTCATTCTTCAACCAAAGGTTGCCATTAGCTGAAATTCAGGAAAACACACAGGTCTGATCACCAAATCAATCAATCTAGTCACAGCCTGACTAAAAGCTTCCTTTAATCTTCTTCCTATTTGGTCTTCCTTTAAATTAAACCATTCCTTTTATGAATTATTTAAGTGAACGGCATGGCTATAGAAAGATCATATATGATTCTTTATGCATAGATGCTCAGAGAATCTAAAAAATTAAACCTATTCAGTGTATTTCAGGAATTATATATAGTATGAGTCAAGATGTGGTAGCTTAAAAACAAACAAAAAACAGAGGGAGGTCTGTACTGAAAGCTTCAAAGAACAATAGAAAAGTCAAGTTTATTTCCTGATTAGTGCAGGATGATTCCCAAAGTGCAGCTAAGTGTCTGGTCCAGACTAGCTATTAGCAATTAAGCAGTTCCCTTTCACTGTCAAGGCTTTTCCCTGAGGTAATGCCTAAATTCTTAATTTTAATATTTTATCTTGTTTCTTTTAGCCCATCCTCTCTTACCAATAAGCTCGACACATTTTCACCATGCTGAATGCTCTCTCAACTCTGGAATTTATACGTTTCAAATATTCACAATTTCAAACTTAAGAGACAATTTATATTTACAACTTCCCACACTGTTCCTCTCAAAATACACTCATTTATTTTATTCGTATGTTCCAATAAAAATTTTTTAATGAGTTTTTCAATAGTGAATATTCTTCCAAATGTGTTCTCACAGTCACGGAGATTGTTTCTAAATCCAATCCCTTGTTAGCTTTCAAAAATCCTTTTTCCTTCACGGTAAACAATTCCCTTCATAAGTCTTTATATCCCTACTTTCCAGATTTCTTTTCACTGTAGAAAATACCAAAGAAAAAATACAAACCATTTCAGATTAAATGAATCTCCTTCTTGCTCATTTATTAGATCTACTTCAAGGCTGTATATGACAGTTGCAATTATTTAATACCTTGAAGTTGAAGTTGAGAAAGTAAGAAAGCCATTGAAAATATATCATAAGCAACTAGTCTGAATATACAAAAAGCTACTTAGATCTTGATTTTCATATAAACACCAAATTTTTACCATTATAAAAGACAACATAATTTCATTTTCCTTTATAAAATTACCCTTTAACAGAATATTCGTAAGCTAGTCATTCCTTAGGTTTTCCTGTACTAATAAAAAATTGTTTTTAAAAGAAAAATATTTAAAATAATGTTTCACAGAAACAGAAAGTCTTATTATCAAAATCTGATAAACTATAATTACGGGTAATCTTACCATAATACTAAATTTCTTACACCAAAGATGGATATTTAGGAAGTGTTAGGTTATTAACATAAACTCAGTGATCTACAAAAGTGTCAGAATAAAGATGAGGTAGTATGAGACTATCTACTTTTACAAAAGGGAAATCTCATATTTAGAAGATATATTTTTCCTGACAGTGGCTATATTCTGAGCCTCTTTATTGATGAGATATGCCGCTTTAGTAGCTACCTCTCACTGGAGTCAAGACAGTCTTGAGATCACTGAGGAGAAAAATGCAAAACATAATAGTAACAGAGACTTCCTTGTTTCAATTTTGTTATTAACAACTTACTTTAAAGTTATTATTGAAAAGAGCTATCTTTGTTAACTCCAAAACTACAGGAATGGAAGTGACACTTCAACATAAAAGCAACAATACTCAAGAAACATTTGTTCTAACTTAGAAATTTGAGGCAAATTTCTTCCGCGTAGAACCAGCTTCCTACATGAGCTAAACTAGCATCAAGAAATCAATTGACTATAATATTAAAAATGCCAATTAGTACAAAGGAATAGACGGCTCACCAGAAGAAACATCTGTCCAGGGAATTATCGATTCTTTAAAAAAAGAGGGGTTGGATATCACTCCATTAATCTTTATTATATCGGGCTAATGATGTTTCTAAAAATGCTTCCCTGTTGTTGGGTTAGTAAACTTAAAATGTTACCCTGTGCCCAGTGTTGTTCTGTTTGTTATAAGCCATGAAGCTTTCAAAAGGTTTTTCTTTTTTTCAAGTCACTATGAAGACATGTTAATTCTGAAGACAGGAATAATTATTTGAAACTTGAAGATCAAATACCATATTAAACTTCCTAAATAATTAAGTCCATGTTTATTTTTTGAATCTTTACTCAACTTAAAATACTGATTAGGTATTTTAATACTGCTTAGGTACTTTACGGAAAACCGTGGCTTCTTCCCAAAGGAACAGGCACAGAGTTTCTATAAAAGGGCTAAGCAGAAGTAACAGTTCATAAGTAAATAGGGAAAAACCTCACCATTGCTTTAGTACATTAGTAACTACTAGTCAGTAACAGTTATTTTTGAAACTTCAAGTAGTAAAGGAACAATATTTATGTTCTGAAGATGCTAACTTCAAGGTTGATAAACATCTATTCAAGAAAAGTAACAAATGACCCTGCCACATTATATAAAAATTAATGTCTGCAAAATGATAATTTTCATTTGATTCTACTGACCAGATCCAATATAGTAATCCTGTTTATAAGTTATTATTTAAAAACAATCAAGTCTGATTTTAAGATATTTTGTTACCTTTAAGATCCTTATTAGTAAATTACAAGTCAATCACATTAATACATTTGTGAATTACAACACTTAGCTTTACTCAAGAATTTTAAAACAATTCTAAAGAGTGTGTATGGGAAAACTATATTTTATGTATAGAAGTGCTAATGGATAGATTAACAAGAAAGCATTTTACATTAAAGAAAAGTATGAAATACAGATTATTCAACTGTGCTTGCAGTGCCTACCAAGTTTCAAATATTCTTGGATCGCTGCATATTACCATTAAGAAAAAAATTAAGAATACAATCTATATGATAAAAACAAAATCTAAACACCTAGTCAAAAATATTCATTAATCCTTAGTTAAGTATAACTTTATATAATCAGTGTAGCATGAGAAAAATAAACTGATCTGGAAGGAAAATTCAGGACAGAAATTTCTTCAACTGCCCTTGTAGAAAAAGTCAAAGTGGCATTAAGAAAAATAAAATGTTAAATGAAAATATGTATATAAATCATTCCAGCACACCTATCTCTTTTCTAGCACTGTTCTGGTGCATCAATCCTGAGTACTCTTACTTTTGATTTATAGTGATATTCCTTCAGATATAATTTCATAGAAGAAGGAATTGGAAGGGCATCAATGCCATCATAAGTTGTACAGTTACAAATCACTGTTCTGCATATATGCTGTAGGGAAAAGGGGAAAGTCCGAATCAAAGGAGTGGATAAAAGTGGTTCAAAGAACATACAGGCACTTGGGTCCTTATAATGTTCCAGGAGCCCAGTAATGTCAGGAGAATGGAAGACACAAGGATCATGTGCATCAAAGCTAAAGTTGTGATTCCACTGTTCAATTCTAGCATGAAGAGAACGACTATAACGTCTAAAACTAACAGAGAATAAATAGTCTTCCTGTGCAGAGTCTCGAAGTAAAAACGTACCCTCTGGTTTTCCTTCTAGTAGAGCTTCAGCTGCATATTTATCCATAACTCCCCAGTAACATGGATTGTTATTGATTTGAAGGAGGTCTGGTACAAGACGGTGGACATAATCAATCTGGGTATGGTATTTGGGTGGTGTTTCCAACTGCAAGAGTTCTTCATCCACTTCCCACTTGGGTTTGTTTCTCTTCCTGGAACTTGTGCAAAGTGTTATAATTTCATCATCTGAATCCATATCACTATCTTCTACACTATTATTTGAAACCAGGTTCATCACAGAATCAGCCATGGGACTACCTCTACACAAAGTGGTGTTGTTGGTTATGACACAGGGTTGAGCATTGGTGTGTGAGAAACAGTTTATCTCTTCTTCCACATTTCTTCTTTGTTTTAGTTGACCATCCCTTAAGTCACTCTGAGATAAGTCTGTGCTTGCCCATTCATCTGAATTGGGATTTATAGGAGCAGTGTGTCGTTTAATAAAATGCCACCTAAAGGCTAAATCAGATCGAGGTGGGAAAGGACACTTATCTAACATGAGTTCACTGATATGAATTTTTCTTTTAGATGGGAGCCCTGAAGAGTGCCGACTACTACAATTCTTTATTGGAAAACACTGTCCCACAGCATCTTGTAGTTTCTGTTTAAGAGATCGGCCTAAAAATCTATGCCCACAGGAATGATCTAAATCTAACTCGATGGATGAACAGCTGTGTTTTCTTTCTTGGCTCCTTAAAGGAACTTCAGCTTTTTCTATAGTATTCACTGCTTCAGCATCTGAACAATTTTCACTCTTTTTTGACCAAGATAACTTTTTTCCACTCCACACATAACCATCCTTTCTGTCAGCACTTCTACTTCGACTAGTTTTGGGTCTTACATCTACATTTTTACTATTATTTTCACTATTTTCTGCCATTTTAGCGAATGATCCACAAATTCCAGTGTTATAAGTACTGCTTTTTCAGTTTTTCTAGCAGGAAGGTTCTTCTGGGCACTTTCTGGATGTATCTACAAGGAAAAAAAAAAATTTAACCATTTGTTGTTTGTATATTTTAACCCAAATTAGAAACAAGATGAAAAAGCAGAATTAGGATAGGAAAGAGTATTAAGTATGTTGGATAGCAGTTCTAAGATATTTTTCCATTTAAATAAACTGTAGAGAGCCTCCCTGGTGGGGCAATGTGTTAAAGCAAAACACTATGAAGTTGCCACAGCCACTCAGCAGGAGTTCGATCCCGGGCCAGGAGTTGACACACATGGTGTGGCAGACCTCTCCTGGCCCACCTACTGCTCCCCTCAGCAGTGTATTTCAGTACATCTGCCTGTTCTGCTCCCCATACTCTTTCTTGGGTGAATCCTCTCAGCTCCCCGCATCCTGTCCTATGCTACAATCCTTGTATGCATAAATAAATAAAATAAATATATTTTTAAAAAGGATAAATATGAAAAAATTTCTATTGGCAATGCCTTTGCTATGAAAAATGAAGAACCAAAAACTGATTTGGTGGTGGAGATTCAGGAGAGGCAGAAGTGACATGGATGAGAAACAAGCCAATAGAGCAGACAAAAGTCCAGGACCCAGAGGCACTGCATGCTATAGAAAGTGTGGTTAGTGAGAACACAGGGGCAAGTAAGCTGGTTGAAAAGTTGCATAAGAGCAGTTAGAGCTCTCGGTGAAGAGGAGTTATTTATTTGGAGAAACTAAAGTAAGGGGTCAGGACACTGGATATAAGACATAGCTTAAAGGAGAGATTTGGGACTAAAATCAGAATAAAAGTTCCCTGTTTTCTTCTTACATCCAACTCCCATAACTCTAGTAGGAGTCAGACTTGTATTTCCAAATAGGAAAATAAATGGAAGACATTTTGCAGGATAAAAAGGAAAAAAGAAAAAACCTATAGTTGCTGACATCTGGGAATTCTCCAATGTAAAGCTGGCCAAATAACACATGCAGTCCAAAGCTCGGTCTACTCATACATCTTTCAGGCAGCCCGTGCTCCATGCACTCTATGATACTGAATGCTCATAAGTTATCGGTCATGAGGAAAGTCTCTAACATTAGTGACAGTGACAAAGTACTGGAGCAAACAGTAACTATGAGAGAAGCAGATAATAAAACAGATCCCTTCCAAATTAAGAGAAGAAATTACATTTTTTGCATGAGTAATAGGGGGTGGGGGAAAACCAGGGAATAAGAAAGTTCAGGAAATTAAAAATATGATTGCAGAAATAAAATATTCAATAGAACAGTTGGAGGATAAATTGAAGAAGTATCAGGAAATAAATAAGTTTAACTAGAAGAAAAAGTAACAAAATTAGAGGATCAATAGTTCACCAAAAATAATGGAGAGGGGAAATTTGTTTTAGTTATTATTCTCATAAAAATTGTATCTGTGCATAAACTTTGTAGTCAGCATTCGACCACAGCTGAAGGGCCAGCCTCCATACTGAAAGATTCCACAGTACCCAGCATGAAGGGGAAAATAACACCAAATTATATTATTCTAAAATTTTAGCACTCTCATGGGTACACGTTCATGTTAAATATTCTTACCACAATAAAATAAGTAACTAAGCCTAAAATAAAAAATAGTCTTCCTGAGAGGAAAAAAGAGGGAAAACAAAAGGACTGTACTAAATTAAGTTTTTCAACAGGAAAACTGGAAGCTAGAAGCCACTTTCCAACCTTAAAGAGACAACCAGCCTAACTACAAATCAAGTACAAGGTTAAAATAAACAAAGTTCAGGAGTGCAAAATACTCATGACTTTACCCTGTATTGTTTGATGTGCTTTTCCAAAATTAGGATGTAGACCCAAAACTAAGCATGTAACCCAGGAAGAAACAGCACAGGAGAGGGGAAACAGGAGGTACTTGGATGAAGAGGAGCAGCCCCAGATGAAGGAGCTGCTAGAGAACACTAGTCCATGTAACACAAGGACGCAGGCTCCAAAGTGGGAGATCTTGAGGGAAAAATTAGAACTGACTTTTGGAAAATTCAACTGAGGAGATAAGAAAGCAAATGGATAAAGAAGTAATTAATAACTACACACAAATTCAAGTTATACAAGAAAACAGAATTGCAAAAGTATCTAATAGTAAATGATCTTTACATATTCACCAATTGTGATACAACTGTCGTAAGAGAATAGAAAGAGAAGAAGAAAATTAAAAAGAGGCAAATTCTCACCTATCATAAGAGGAATTCTTGAATCAGGGAAGAGAAGTAGAAGCATATTGATTTAGAAATATTAAGGTAGATATATGAAGAGCAGTTAAAAATATATGAAACTAAATAAAAGGCTATTGCATTTCTTAGCTTATTGAAATTTTGTAGCTTTTAAACTTTTTACCTAGCAGCATAAATCATTCTGATAAATGTAATTAAAATTACCATGAAAATTTCAAACGAGGCATACCGGTATATAGAAAAGTGAAACTATCCATAATCCTACCACCCAACAATAGCCATTTTAACATTTTCATTACCTCTTTACACCCATATGCGAGGTTCCACAGGCATTAGAAATGCAGTTTGAATCCAGTCCAGCTGATTTTATACTAGCTGAATGACCATGAAACCTCTGATTGTTCATCTGTAAAAAGAGGCTATTCTCTTTTTCTTTTTTTTGCTATCTACAAGGCTTTTGAGGGTTAAATGAAATAATACACATAAAGTACTCAGCTCAGCTCCTAAATGTACTGAGTACTCAATACTAGATTCTTCAATGAAAGCATCTAAGCCAGTTTTATAGAAATAGTTCAAAAGAAATTACAGAATACCTGTCTCTAGCCCAGTGCTAATTACAAATTTTATGAACAAACATAATTTTCAGGAGATAATTGCTACAAAATAAAAATGGATCAATATGCCAGATATAGCTGAAACTCAACAGACCTGAAGCTGAAGAACAATTCTACACTCCCTCCCCCAACTAATTTTTAGACTTCCTCTATACAAGTTTACATGCCAATGTAACAGGTTTATTTCTGCAAGGTATCTTAGGTACCAATAAATCAAATGTCTCTGGATTTTAGTTTAATTGTTCTTAGATGTGCTAGTGTTGCAGGTGTCCATTAACTAAAGTGAAAGTAGCACCAGCCTAGATAAATTTTCCATTCATTTTCTCTTAAAGATTTAATATAAGTAAGTCTTTATAAATCTATAATATTTTCTAATCTTCTACCTGGCTGGTTATCTTTTTTATATCTATCACTGAATTAGAACCTTACATAAATTTCACAGTGTTATTCTTTTGCTAGATAACTGAGTTCAGGCTTCAGAAGTCCCACTTTTATATGGGCCAGAATGCCACATAATGTTGTATTCCTTAAAGCAGGAAGAACTTTTAACTTCTACTTAATTTGTCCAATAATTAGAAAAATGAAAATTTACTAATGTCAAACATTTGGTTGACACTCACTGTCGGAAAACTCCTTATGATAGTGTGATGTTCCAAAGGGAATAGTGGGAATGCCAAAAAGCTAAGGACTTGATGGCAACCTTTGTATTCTTTGTTTACTTTCAGTGTACCTCAAATGTCTGCATGCTGCTGGAATAGATTTGTAAACTATATTATTATCTAAGAGAATCTTTAACTTTTAATTATATTTTTAAAAAGTGAGTATGTGTAATACTTTTTAATTACCTTTTTTTTTAAAACAAGTCAATCTCATACGCTACTTACCAGCTATATTAAAAAATACAAAACAACATTTAATTAGTCACTTCATGGTATATGTTAATATTTTAATAATTGTGTGGGAGCCTCCCTGGTGGTACAGGAGTTAGTCTCAGCACTATCAAGCTATCACCAGCCACTGTGGAATGAGTTCAATCCCTGGCCACAGAGCTAACCCACATGGTACAGTAAACCTCTCCTCACAGTACAATTCCCAGTACTGTGCTTTAACCCGCTGCGCCAGCAGGGAGGGCCCTGATGAAGAGTTTTAATGTTGAGTTTTAAAAACTGCTTCGGTGTCTTGCCTATCAGTGTAAAATCTGAATGTAAGGGTTCTGAATCTGAACTAGTCCATCTGAACAACCTATTATAATGCTTGGAATTTTATACAAACTGATATAATATAATGTAAAAGATATAAAAAAGTAATTGGCGTTACTACTATTTTTCTTAGTGTAAATATCAGAGGATACTTTGAAACCAAATGACAAATCAAGATCTTTGTTGGTAGCTGTAAAGAAGTGTTTTTAAAAAGGGTGAAAGAATCACTTGGGGGAAGGCTGCTTTGCTCTTCATTAAATAATTATTTTTTTATGAAGACAGCTATATTACATTGCACTGGGGAGTACACAGTGACATTTTATTATTGTTGTTGTTGTTATTTCTTAATGAGCAGGAAGCAAATGTCTAGAAAACAAGTTTGTAAGTAGTCATTAGGTCCCAGGTTCTACCACCATTGTAATGACAGCAAGATTTAAATAATACTTAGTGAGTTCTACTGAACAAGGTAGTGAGGTTAAGTTTTAAGATATAAAACTGTTAAAAAGCCAATAATTAAAGTGTTAAATTTTACCTAGAAATTTTATTTGTATTCTCTATAGTGTTGGTTAATAGAGCATCACGGTACATTTACACTGATTATTCATTAAACAACTACTATACTTAAAGTGTTGATGCAATCTAAGAATAGAATTCATATAAATACTAAAGTAAATTTGACCCTGTAAAGATTAATTTATTATTCTACAGAAAGAATTCAAATAACTTTTTCTGGTAGTAATTCAATCAAGGGGATTCTTTATCAAATCTATGATTCCAAAGTTCAGCTGATGTTATGTGCCCCAAAACTCCTTGAAAACATTCTGATGTAGTCTGTGATATTTAAATTAGATTTTATAATTCATAATTCAAGACATTTGATCATAGCCTTATATTTGAGTTGGATTTTGTAGAAAAGACTTAGGCTCCACAAAAGGAATATACTGGATATTAGAGGACAAATGAATCACTTGGAATGTTAAGGAAATAACATTTAAGAAATGGATTGTTCACATGAGAGAAATTTCTGACCTTAAAAAGAAAAACAAGGCCCTCCCTGGTGGCGCAGCGGGTTAAAGCACAGCACTAAGAAGCTAAAGCCACTTCCACATGAGTTCGATTCCCCCCTGCCCCGGAGGTGACCACGTGGCGCGGCAGACCTCTCCTGATCCGCCCGCTGTTCCCCTCAGCAGTGTACTTCGTTGATCTGCCTGTTCTGCTCCCCATTCTGTATCTGGTGAAGTCTTTCGCCACCCCTGAGTCTCTGGCCTGTACCCCAGTTCTGTATGCACAAATAAATAAATCTTTAAAAATAAATAAATAAATAAATAAAAATAAAGAAAAAGGAATTACTGATTAATAACTAGTGCCACTACATTCTCCTTAGGTCCTCACTTTTTTTTCTAATAGTTTGGTTAGGCCAATGTCCCTCAATCTGTATTCTTGTGGACATCTGTTCTAAAATAGGGGTTTCCTTGTCAAACAAGATTAGAAACCACATTCCCCCTGAAAAATTACAATACAAATTTAGCAAAATGTCCAAGAGGTTTTAAGAAACTTGCTTAGACTGCAGTTTCCTATATTTAATTATCATAAATCCTTTGTGGAACAAATTTGGGGTAAACATGAACTTGGGCTAGCATTAAAATGAGTGACCATATCTGAGCATGCTAATAACTCAAGATAAATGTCTAAGAACCTGTCTCTGAAGGTTAACTTAGAGTGAAGAGCGAGCAGAGAATTAAGAGCTGGCAGTACATGGACTTGTGCAAGTAGGGGGACCAGCAGAGAATCTTAGAAACCAGGATAGTCAAGAAAAGCATTGTGATTCTTTAGGACTAAAACTAGGTTAGACAGCTGTACTTTTTCCTTCCAATTTGTAATTTTTAGTAATAGAAGGAACATATCCTTATAAATACATGAACTGTTACAGAAAAGCTTAAAAAATGAGGGGAAAACCCCCAACAATTCAATCATACCCAGGTGTAACCAATTTAGACATTTTGACCTATGTCCTTTCTCATGAGAACAATGTATATAAAGATAAAATTTTAAAGTTTTAGGTATGTTAAAAAATCATAAACCAGCCCTCCCTCCTGGTGGTTCAGCGGGTTAATGCATAGCACTAAGAAGCTCAAGCTACTTCAGCATGAGTTCGATACCCCCGATACCCTGCTGCCCTAGAGCTGAGCCACATGGCGCAGCAGACCTTTCCTGACACCCGCCCCCCCTCAGCAGTGTACTTTGTCCATCTGCCTGTCCTGCTTCCTACTCTGTCTCTGGTGACTCCTCTCACTCCCTTGCACCTCTGGCCTGTACCCAGTTCTGTATGCATAAATAAATAAATCTTTAAAAAAAAACATAAACCTACAGTTTTTCACTCTACTATGTTTAAACATGGTGTAGAAGAAACAGCATAAAGTACAAAAATTTCAAACATGGGCTAAACTTCAGACCTGACTAGCTATATCACCTGATAAAAAATTTAGCTTCAATTTTTCCAATGTAAAATCTAGATAATGCCACCTGTTTCATGTTTTTACTGCCAACATTAAAATGTATGAAAATTGCATACACTGAGCTTAATAAAAATGCATATTAGCTGCCTTACAATATTTCACAAAACTTTTCACATAGAAGCGAATTAAAAAAAAAAAAAAGACAGTTGGGAAAGTGGCAAAATAACTGAACAAGGAACCAAAAACCCTATTATAAGGCTAGAAAAATCTGCACAAAAACATACCTTAAACATCTTGGGTAAAGGAGCCTTCAACATTTCTGAAATACCAGAGTACTTTATATTACTCCTAATATTTAACAGCTTTTTTAAAAAAAATTTAATTTCTTTAAATATATTATGGATGTAAACAACCAAAATTATAATTAGTAAAAAAAGTAGTTCCTAGAAAGTTAACTTAGGAAACATATTTCAACAGAAATCTGTTGTTGTTTTTAACAGATTATAGGTTATTCTTTCCATCCCTTTATAATAATTATGGATGCTTACATTTAAATTTGGTTAATGAGTCTTACATATACACTCGCAAAGGGTCATGTGAGACTTAAGGTAAAAGGCCTAAGTTCTGTTTCTATTTCTGACATGATAGGTGTATGACCTTGGAAAATCACAATTTTTCATTGATTAATGGGAGATTATATCTGTCCTGCTGTCAATTATGCTATCAATGTAACAACACAAGAATCAAATATTGGCTGCTTTTTCTAAGCTGGAAAGTTGTTTCATCCTTTTATAACTCAGGAAGACTTGACATGAGGAAGAATTATTTATCCCCCAAAATAAACAAACTGATAAATTCAGGATACTTGCAGAGATATAAAAGCTGGTTTGAGTACTGTTTTCAATACTGTGTTCTCAGTTAACCTTATAGTCTCTCAGTCTTATCTTTCATGGAATTAAAGTTTTTATCAGGTACATGTTTTATTTAAAAGGCATTTTATTAAACTCCTTCCAAAAAGCAGTAGGCCTTATGATTAATAGGCCTCTCGATTAATCTCTATGATTATATAATATTTGTATCTTAGGCCTTTTTACTTTTGTTCTCACTGCATCAGGAGAATGGAAACAGATGCATGTTTCTCATCCTAGTGTCCTTGAGAATATTTGTGAAACCAACAATATTTGTGGTACTATGAGTGATCACAACTGAGCAGAACTAACCTTTATACTGCAATTGAATCTGTGACCTGTGCTTCATTTTTAGTGAGTTCATTTAGCTATCTATTCCTATTAGACATGCACTGGTAAGATAAATAGATTTATTTGGAAAATCCCCCCCATATATATATGTTATCTTAAATAACCAGACAATTTTGCTAACATTTAGGTTACCACACTGTTATTGTGTACACAGGTTACCACACTGTTATTGTTTGAATGTCTGAGTCCCTAAAATGATTATGAACTCATTGCAGACAATAAAATTTGCTGGTATTTGACTGCAATCACCAAACGCCTACCCAAAGTATCCCATAAATAACATAAAGCATTAATAACAATTTCATACATACATGAGTATTTCTTATATATAACATTTCAATGGAGGCAAGTATCATCTTTATTTCAGACATAAGAAATTTTTAGGAAAAAGTAATGAAGCATATATTCAATGTAACAAACGACTAATTGTCAGAGTTAAAATTCAAGCCGAGAGATGTTCAACTCTTAAGACCCAAGTTCTTTCATGATACATGTGAAATTTGTTAAGATATTTTTTTTTAATGGCTTGATTGCTAAGGCAAAGTGGGAGAACAGAGAATGGATACCATGCAAAGCTTTAGAGTCACAGGCATTATAGATATTATAGTTACAGCCTTTTATAGTTATAATTCTTTTTTCAATTTGCAGATTCTTATGCTGAGCTCTGAATAGTACTGCACTGAAATCTCATCATGAATTATTCAAGAGATTGCTATTCGAGTTCAACTTGAACCCCATAGTCTAACCAATGACATTAACTTGGACCCCCCATATATATATGTACTCACACAAATCAGTCTATTTTTAAAACACGAATTACCTACAAATATATTCAAGTCACTAAAAAGAATCATCTGTTTAATCTTTTACTCTTGTGGGAAATCAACAAGGTTGGTTATTTTCCCACAAATCCTAAATTCTTTTTCAATCACTTTCTCTTTTTTGTATACCAAATCTCAGCAAGACTATGTGAAACCCTAGGACGCAAAACCACCCCTTACACAATGACACATGGAAAGAACAGTAATTTGTGCATTTCCAACTTTTCACAACGGAAGGAGATGGGAAAACAATGGGGAATTCCCTACAGCGGAAAAACACCTCGCGTTTTTGACAGACGCCAGGCCTGACTGAGACTAAAGGTGCGTACCACAAATAATCATTAGCAGTGAGCGGGTCTACCAACATGGAGAACGTGCAGACACAAGAATAGCACAAACTTAACGGCAACACATGAGCACAAACTGCAAGAACCAAATGAAGTAGTCAAAAATACACTTCAGTTCCAGCTCTTCTAGATCTAAATACGAGTTTCAGTGAACTCAAGGTGGGGTCGAGACAGGGAAACCCACGTTATTTTCTGAAGGGATATGTAAGAAAATTCAAAGAAAAAGCGTTATGGCACACGCCATATCTCCAGGGACCGGGAAAAGAGATTAAGTCTGCCCTCTTTTATCGCCATAGAACTGGTAAGGCGAAAGAGCCAAGGATGCCAAGATTAAAGGGCTGAGAAGTGTATGGTCTTCCCCTTTTCTAAAGACGTCCCCCAAATCGTACTTATATTCGGCTCCCAGGGAGGAGCTGGACCCGGATGTGGTTGCCAGTGAGGGAAGCCTGCAAGGTAGAAGCAGACCCCTATCTGCAAGGCCAAGCAGTAACCACCCTAACCCTTACTCACCTCCCAGAGCGCAGTTTAACTGGGGCTGTCGGAGTAACTGCCGCCATCACCGTCGCTAGCGCTCTGGATTTTCGCTGAGAAGGGAGGCCCAGCCATTCATTCACTTCAGGTAGATCCCACGAGGCGGATGTCTTTCAGCATGCGCCAACCCCACGGCGCAGACTTCCCGTCTCTGACCGCCTCCACCAGCTTCCCAGACGCTGCCACCGCTTCCGTGTTAGGCTCCCTCCCTTTCTTCCTCACTCCGGCAGCAACCGGCTTTCCAGCTCGAGGCCGGCGCGTTGCTGACGCCACCACCCGGCGACCTGGGTCTGGGACCCGATGGGCGTGGGCGGGCCGGCGCAGGCGTGGTGCGGACAGCACGCCGGAGCGCGGGAAGCGGCGCTGCGCGGGTACTTGCAGCTCCTGTCCTTTCCTGGGTCCCAGAGCCTCTGTCACCTCCGTGAGTTTTCAGCCCCACTGCGGGTGTGTTCCCACCGCGAAGCGAGTCCTCTTCTAGCCTCACTGTCTGACATACTTTTCACTGTATCTTGGGTGGGGGGGAAGAGGGCTGTCGCGAGGGTGCCCGGCGGGAGACTAACCTCCCTTCTGTAACTTCTGGCTTTTCTAGCCTTTATAGAGTTTATAAAACATTTCCAGGTAGGAAAAGGAAAAGATGCCTGCCACACAGAAGCCGATGCGATATGGACATACAGAGGGACACACAGATGTCTGCTTTGATGAATCTGGAAGGTAAGGTACTTTAGAAATAGAACATTTCGGATATAAATATTTGCACATTTATTCTTACATGTCACATAAACAACCAACCTAAAAGGACTTATCCAGATAGGGAGAAATTAGGTTGAAATCTAAAAAGGTACACTATAATTTCCTCACAATTATTGATTCGAACTGTTAATGATAATTTGAGTGTATCAGAGTTAAGGAAGGTAAATCCTCCAGAGGCGCTGGAAAGGTGAATCTCTCCCCGTATTTTCCATTGTTCATTCTTCCCCAACAATTTGCCAGGTCACTATAGCTTCCTACTTATCAAATTTAATGACTGGTCCTCTTTCTGTGTTTTTATTACGGTGCTATTACCTTTTTTTGTTGTTTTCAACGATCTGGCAGCATTTTTTTCTAATTTTTCTCTACTTGACTCCTAAATATTTTCTCAGCGTTATTTGGTACTTGAATCTTTCCAAACTCTGTTCCTGTGTAATACTGTCTAATCATGTGACTTCCATTGTCACTTCAGTCATTGAAAAACATTTGCATGTCTATTCTGCTCCAAGCTTGTGATAAACTAACGCAAGTAAAGCAAAATTCTTTCTATAATTTTCCATAAGATCTTTTTGGTTTGACATGGAACACAAATTAATCACAACAATAATTATACATTGAAAATACACTAAAGAATATTAAATGATACCTGTAATGATAAGCATATATGAAAGGATGGCTAGGGAAACAAAATTCCTATGCAAGATTTTCTGGGCTTTACTAGGAATTTGTTTTTATTCTAAAAGCAGTAGAAGGTATGCATATAAAGAGAGAAATATGATCAGACTCTTGATGCATGGAGGATGAAGTAGAAAAGGAGCAGGAGTGAATATATGGAGTCTATTAGGAGGTATTAGTCTGGTGGAATGTGATGGAAGCTTATATCAAAGTAGGCATAAGTCTAGAAAACAGAGACATATTCAGGAACTATTTAAAATCAACAAGAAGGATTAGATACCCAGGATGAAGGAGAGGAAGGTGTCAGGGATAACACATTTCTGGATATTACATGTGGGGAATTATAGTGCCACTCGCTGAATGGAGAGAATACATTTCAGAGGTAGGTTAGGGGCTTTGTGATTATGAGTTTGTATTTGTACATGGTTGGTATAGGATTTCTTTATGATACCTAACTAGAGGTGTACATATTTGGATAAATGTGTCTAAAGCTCAGAAAAGAAAAGTAAGCTAGAGATAGAAATATACATCTTTAATTGATGCCTCCTGGAATTCAGAATTGAAGACTTCACCAGAGCTCTAAATGTGGGAAGTTATCAACATATAAATAACATTTAATGACAAATTTGCATGAAACCAAGGGAAACCTTGGGAGGGAATGAATATAGTTAAGAAATGAGCTTCAAGGACTAAGCTTTGGGGCACTCCATAATATTTAGAGATCCAGTGAGAAGAAACAAGCTGAGAAGACTAAGAAGAGTGGTTAGAAAAAAGTAGAAAACCAGGGATGCCTATCAACAAGTCAGATGAAGTAAGCATTTAAGGAGGAGGAAATAAACTCAAAGGCTACTAGTGGGTCAAGTTGAAGACTGAGAATTCCCCATGACATTAGTGATGTGGAGACCATTGAGTTTTTTATGGAGTGGTAAAATGAAAGATATTTTACAGTAGATTCAAGGAAAGGAAAGGCTTAAAGTTAAGGATGATCACCAGAGAATGAGAGTGGTTGGATAGGAATATTGATTGGAAACAGGTTTTGTTTTAATGAAATATTATAGCATATATGTGAGTGGAGAGTTCCAATAGAGATAGTTGATGTCATAATAGGAAAAGGGAGAATTACTGGAGTGATGTCCTTGAGTAGGTAAGGGGGCCTGGGATACAGTGCCAGGAGAGATGTTTTACAAATTTAAGCCTATACCATGTCATCCTGGTAGAGAACATAAATTTAAACAATTAAAGAGGAAATCTCAGAAAATTTTCCCTACAATTCAAGATATTCCAAAGTGTGCAGTTATAGAATTTGAAAATTAAATCATTCATCTTTTTAACTTTGAATGTACAGTTTATTCAATTCCTTACTTGCCTTTGTAGGGATATATTTTTTTGTCATAATGTGCATAAGCTTTGTTTTCATTAATTGCATGTCACTAAAAGCTTCAAAGGCTAAAGTTGAATTTTTTTTTTAAAGATTTATTTATCTATGCATACAGGAGTGGGGTACAGGCCAGAGATGTAAGGGGTGAGAGGATTCACGTAAGACAGGAACAGAACAGGTAGATGTACTGAAATACACTGCTGGAGGGGAGCAGTGGGCAATTCAGGAGAGGTCTGCCATGCCATGGGGGTCACCTCCCTGGTGGGAGATCAAACTCATGCTAAAGTGGCTACAATAGCTTCCTAGTGCAATGCTTTAATCTGCTACACTACCAGGGAGGGCCCAAGTCAAATGCTTGATTAAAGATTTAAGTGATTTTGAACCAAATGCAACTGACATTTAGAGAATTTGTTTCCACTAATAATAGTAATATCATAAATGTACAACTCTGGGATTTTATAAAGTAACTTTTCAGAAGCTCAATATTAAAAAATATCTAATTCATGATAGGCAGCAGAGAAAACATCTAATACAAGGTGGGGAAGTATTTTTGTGTAGGATTTAACATCAATTTATTCCAAAAATTTTTTTCAATTATAAAATTATCTAAAAATTTGACAGTTGTCACTAATGTTTTGATTGAATTGTGAATCAGTTATGAATTTGAATATAATTTCAATACCGCTTCTTTTTTATAGATTTTGTATCACTGTAAAAATGAAGTACTTTATCTTTAGGATTGAACTTTTCAAATAAATTCAGGTAGAATTCCCAATCATGTCACATATTTCACTTTCGATAGAACAAAATTCTAGAAGTTTTACTTTGTTTTCTTGAACTGAAGGGGAGAGGAGACCGTTATTGGAATTCGACAAATTTTCTGTTTATCACCTCTGATTACACTGATATAAAAATCAGTATCATTTAACTGTTTGAACATTTCTTTTGCTAATGGAGATAACACATTAATGACTACCCTGTCACTTTTCGTACTTGCACTAGAAAACTTGGGAAATGAGCAAAATTAATCTGTAATAGCTGTTACTTACCTTAATGCTACACCTGTCCAACAACCAGTAAATCCTGTTGTATTTAGATATAAAGTAATTTAACTAAATTAAAGATTCAGTTCCTTAGTTCTACTAGCCACATTACAATTACCTAGGGGACAGATCATTTTCATTATCTGGTACTACTGGACAGCACTAAATTATTATAAAAAGTTATGCTTGATAAGATACTTTCTGCAGCTACAGAAGCATGGTTTTCAGGCAGACTCCAGGTAACTTCTGTCATAACTTATAAAGTAGGTGATAATACTTCTTTAATAAGAGTTGTGTGTCTTCTGACTCACCAGTGACTGCTGTTATCACTGTAGCCCCCACTGTTAGCATTTTGTTCAAGTTAAACTTTTCATTATTAACTTATTTCTTTTTATTTATAGAAGAACTGGGGTGTAGGCCAGAGGTGTGTTGCGTGAGAGGTTTCGCCAGAGACAATGTGGGGAGCAGAACAGACAGATCTACTCACATATACCGCTAAGGGGACCTGCAATTGAGACCAGAGATGTCTGCTGCGCCATATGTGGGCTATTTTCCTGGTATTGAACTCTGGCCTTCTCAAGCCCAGGTGGTGACAGTGCTAAGACTTAACTCCTGCGCCACCAAGGAGGTCCCATTATCAACTTCTTGAGAGGCACAGATTTTATATTTAGCTTTTTATTCAACATGGTGTTTTTTTTTTCCCAGTTCATTTCTATTGAAAGGGGTTCTGTTTATTTGCAAAATTTAAACAGATGCAGTGATAAAATTGATATGTATTTAGTTTTATTTTCACAGTAAATGACAAAGAAACTGGGAAGAATGTTTATCCTAAAAGCTCTTCAAAGGACTATTCAGCTCTATTTCTTGTATATATTTCTCATTAATTTTAAGATATTTCACTAACTTCCCACTGGCCTCACCACTGATACCTTTAACTTTTTACATCTGCCTTACTGCATCTGGCTGATCCACCAAATGGGATGACTATGAAACATTTTTGTATAGCTCTCCCCAAGAACTCATGTGTGACTTCAGTTTTATCAGAGAATACCTATGGTCCTTAAAAGGAGGTGTTATATTGCATCAAGAAAGGATAAAAAAGGGGAGATGGATTATTAATGGTAGTCTTACAGATTTACCCATGTATTAAAGAGGAACTCTCTTCATTTTACACGTTATACTACTGAACAAGATTATGGGAAATGCTGGAAGTGTAAGGAGACATCTGTCACACCCACACCAACCAGTTTTGATGCAACTTAAATAATATGCTTTAAAGTGAAAGACTAACTGCAAGGTTAGCTGGCTTGGTGCCAAGCCAGCTAGACTTACAAATCAATCAGGAGGGTCCTGGACAAATTGAGGCTTAAGGTCTTCATATTTATTTCCTCTAGAGGGAGTCTAAGCTCCTTACTTTGGCGTTAAGAGCATCTACACAGGATAACCCCAATTACTTTGTCCTTGATTTTCTGTACTCCACTCAATAAACTCCCCCAAGTTTAACTACAAATTTTAGTTCATTTGGTTTCATCTATTTGGAACTGTGTTTTTTACAAATCTCAGCATGTCTGGTTCCACTTGTTCTTTAACATTCCAATGTAAATATTATCCTAATTTTCCAAATGGGGGTTCGTCTTTTTCTGTAGGACATCTACAGTTCTTTATGTAGATTTTTGCCATTTACCATATTATTTCTGTATTTTATTTGCTTCTTACCTGTCTACATAGGATGCATACTGAGTGAATGAAAGCACCCAGAAGACAAACAATCTTCTTTAAAAACAAGATCTGAGTGATACCGATAGCCATTTGAATAATCAGCTTTCAGTTTTGGATAATTGTTTTCTTGCATCCATCCATTTATTCATTCAAGCATTTATCAAGACTTCACCATGTCAGAAATTGCCTTGTGCTAAAGCATAATAGTCATCTACATAGGATGGGCTATTACAGAGATTTCACACTCATCTTTGCTAATTTATTACTAATTATGCCATGGGGGGAACTTAAAGAACATTGAAATTACTTTTTCATTTTAAGTAAGAGGCTAGCAGTTGTTAGTGAGGTTTATGTATGCAAAATGAGGAAGCATTCACTAATAGTTTTATTTTAAAAAGAAGATAGAGTTAAAAAAAGAATATAAAGTTTCATTCCGAAAACATTAATAATTTTGAAATTGGGTGACTTTTTAATGTCTGTGTTTCCTTCACAGTTATATTGTGACTTGTGGAAGTGATGGTGATGTAAGGATTTGGGAAGACTTGGATGATGATGATCCCAAGTCCATAAATGTTGGAGAAAAGGCATATTCATGTGCTTTGAAGGTAATACAAACAATGATATCAACTGACATCATATTGCCATGGTACTGCAATGTGGTTTTTATGCTTGGATGGAAAGTATTGTTATGGTTTTTAATATAAATTGTGTCTTTATGCTTGTTTCTCTTATGGAATAACAATATTAAAAGCAATAAAGCAGTGACTTTCCCAAAAATTTAAAGGTAAAATCTGATTTATTAAAGGTATATGAATTTCAATGGTGATCTATCTAAAATACTTACAAATAATTACCTTTAAGAAAGAGGTTTAAATATTCTTTTTTTCCCTTTGAGGGAAAACGTGGTGGCACTTTTCAGGTTTTTTTTTTTTTTTTAATTTATTTATTTGTACATACAGAACTGGGGTACAGGCCAGAGGCTCAGGGGTGGCGAGAGGCTTCACCAGAGACAGAGTGGGAAGCAGAACAGGCAGATCGACGAAGTACACTGCTGAGGGGAGCAGCGGGCGGGTCAGGAGAGGTCTGCCACACCATGTGGTCTCCTCCGGGGCAGGCGGGAATCGAACTCATGCAGAAGTGGCTTTAGCTTCTCAGTGCTGTGCTTTAACCCGCTGCGCCACCAGGGAGGGCCACTTTTCAGGTTTTTAACTTATTCAGATAACTTGAAGAATTGGAACCATTTTTAGGGCTCTCCCTGGTGGCACAGCGGGTTAAAGCACAGCACTAAGAAGCTAAAGCCACTTCAGCATGAATTCGATCCCCGCCCTGGAGGTGACCCACATGGCACCACAGACCTCTCCTGACCCTCCCGCTGCTCCCCTCAGCAGTGTACTTCGTCTGTCAGCCTGTTCTGCTTCCCACTATGTCTCTGGTGAATCTTCTCACCTCCCCTGCACCTCTGGCCTATACCCCAGTTCTGTATGCATAAATAAATAAATCTTTAAATTAAAAAAATGAACCATTTTTAACTTTCTCAAGATAAAGACACATTTATCATTTTTTAAAAATATTTATTTAGAACTTAAGTTGGTTAAAATTTTTCTTATTTTCACATTTGAATTAACTATCAGCTTCTCACTATTAAGTTAGTATATATGATTTGTTTAATTACATTAGTTTACAGTGTAGGCATTATACAGCACTTTTCACCCATTTTCCAGTAATTGCATCTGAAGATAAGGGTATTATTCAGAATTGAATCATTTAAACTGTTCTTTGAGCAGAAGTATACATCTTCCCAAATTTGCTGAATATAGTAGTGTCATTGTTATCACCAGAGTTTTTTGCCCACTCTAGGAGCAGGTGCTGTAGATAAGTAGGGTCTATGTGTACAAATATGACTGGGACCTCTTGGTATAGAATATCGAATGCTTTCACTAACAAATTTAATGGTTTTTTTTTTTTTTTTTAGTTATTTAGTCAATTAATAATTTGGCCATATGACTTATGAACTTGTGTGAAGTTGGTACACTGCAATTTAGTCTCTTAGGACTTAATACCTGTTGGAGAAGTAATAAAACTGGTACAAGGGGCTAAAGCGTAGCACTATAAAGTTTTCTGCAGCTACTGTAGCCCAAGTTTGATCCCCAATTCATGTTGCAATAGACCTCTCCTGCTTCGCCTGCTGCTCACCTCAGCAGTGTATTTCAGTCAGTCCACCTGTTCCGTTTCCCACTCTGTCTCTGGTGAATCTTCTCACCACCCCTGCACTTCTGGCCTGTATCCCCGTTCTTGTATGCATAAATAAATGAAATCTTAAAAAATAAAATAAAACCAAGGGAGGTATGTGAAGCCATGACCATTCATGATTCCAACTAAAATCTTTATAAAGTAGTGGTGTCTGCTAATCATTTCCAGATATGAAAACTTTGTTTATTTAATACTTTAAAAAAGGAGCCATGAGCAAAGACTTCTGATGATTTTTTTTTTTTTTTTTTTGTAGAAGCATAGTGTAGGCACCGTGCCCATGCCTTCTGAGTGGTTTTTTTTCTTGTTGAGACTCGCTGTGTTTTCATTTTTTATGATGTGTGGGAATCCTTAAAAAATAAATATTTTTCACACCAGAAGTAAAGAAAACTCAAAGGCTGGTAAAGGGGGATTAAGTTTTTCAAAGATAACAAATTTTTCTTGCTATTAGACATAGACAATCTTGGGAAGTTGTACAGTGAGTAATAATTTTCTCTTGACATGAACTACATTTTAAGATACTTTTACAGTTATTTTTTTTTTTTTTTAACTACGGAGAGACTTTCAGTCCATTTGGATTTGTGTTGCCAGTATTTGTGTTGCCTTTATTTTTCTTTTAGAATGGAAAATTGGTCACTGCAGTATCTAACAATACTATTCAAGTCTACACATTTCCTGAAGGAGTTCCAGATGGTATATTGACTCGCTTCACCACAAATGCAAACCATGTTGTTTTTAATGGGGGTGGTGCAAAAATTGCTGCTGGGTCTAGGTAAGACTATTATATATCAAAAAAGAACATACTGTTAAAACAGAATGGTCTCATTCATTGGTTTCAGGGTAACATTTTCAGAACTGTTCCATATTTACTTTTGTACACTATTTTTAGTCAATTTTTTTCCTAAGAAAGGTTTTTGAGGACAAACTTATGTTCATGAATTGAAAAATATTGCTTTGCATATATAGCTTTTCAGTAGATTCTGGAAAAAAAGATTGGGGAAAGATGATAGCTTGATAAATTTTAAAATGAATTTAGGTAGAACCTGGACTATACAGTCAGGCTATTTGCTGTTTCCCTTCAAGCTTACTGACATGGGGGAAATGTAATTCGTTGGTGTGACGGAGTAAAAGGCATAGCGCTTTCTAAAATGGCTTTAATTATATTAGGAAGTGGAAGCTTGAGATGTAAGTAAGGAAGCCACTTAGGAAGTATTTGTATTTTAACATAATGGAAAGGCTTGATTTGTGTTTTTAACAACTTTGTAGAGCAAAAACAGAAGGTAGTAAGTCACTAAATTTGAGTATCAGATCATACAAGTTGCAATAAAGAAATTATGGCATTTACTATTGTGATTTTGAAGTATTTGGGCCATAGCTTTTAGGAGGGACTTTTGTATTGATATGTATTCTTATAACTACTTTTATTATTTATAGTGATTTTCTAATCAAAGTTGTGGATGTAATGGATTGCAGCCAACAAAAAACATTTCGGGGACATGATGCCCCTGTGTTAAGTCTGTCCTTTGATCCTAAAGACATCTTTCTGGTAATTATTTTTGCTATTTACATATTTCCTGAATATGTTTTAAATTGTAAGAAAATTAGGACATTTTAGACCATTGATAAAAGGCTGTTCGATTTATCAGTTAAACTAGTTTCTATATGGCATTAAAACTGTAACTATAGAGAAATCTGTTGTTCATTCCTATAGGCATCCGCTAGTTGTGATGGATCTGTCAGAGTGTGGCAAATTTCAGATCAGGTAAATTTATCAACTTGAATTTAAAATTTTTTGCCCATTTCTGTATATACTAGATGTTAAAACCTGTATTACCAAGCCAAATTAATAATATTTTTCTTTGTAGTATTTTGAAGTAGCATTAGACATTGTTTTTTTGTGATCAGTTTCACACAGAATCATTGGGGAAAATTCAGTCACTATACATTTAAAAACTACTATGTGTTGGAATGGAAATACTGGAGATAGAAAAATAATGCATGGGCTAAACTTGCTTTCAAGAGTCACATAAACAACTTATACTAACCCAGTCCAATAAAAGTTTGAAGGGAGGCCCTCCCTGGTGGTGCAGCGGGTTAAAGCACAGCACTGAGAATCTAAAGCCACTTCCGCATGAGTTCGATTCCCGCCTGCCCCGGAGGTGACCACATGGCGAGGCAGACCTCCCCTGACCCGCCCGCTGCTCCCCTCAGCAGTGTACTTCCATGATCTGCCTGTTCTGCTCCCTACTCCGTCTCTGGTGAATCCTCTCACCCTCCACAACTCTGGCCTGTACCCCAGTTCTGTATGAATAAATAAATAAATCTTTAAAAAAAAAAAAAGTTTGAAGGGAGATGTGAAAAGATTTCCCTTTGTATTGGCCAAGGGGACAATTAATTCTTGGCCTTTCTAGAGATGATGTGGCTAGTAGAAAAATATCCCCCACAACTATGCATCAGTAGCCACAGTTCCTTCTCCTGATTCGTGAACTATTTAGGATTGGCCTTGATACCTTAAGATTTTGTAGTAGATCTCTCAAGTCATTTTGTGAATATTTTTAAGATTTTAATATATTGAGATTTTGTAGATATATTTAATAATTATATTGCTTATTTATTTTATAAAGAAATGTTTTAATTATTTAAGGCATGTCTTCCTTATGCCTCTGAAGGATTTACTCTAACTTAGATAACTTATGAATCATAATTAGATTTAAGTGAATTACATTGCCTTTTTTCTACATACCAATTTGTAGACACCATTAAATGTTTTCAGTCTTGCATATCTTTTTGGAAGAATTTGGATAAAGGGAAATAAATTCTCTTTTCTTTTAAATCAGACATGTGTTATTAGTTGGCCACTGCTACGAAAATGCAATGATGTGATAAATGCAAAATCAATCTGCAGACTTGCTTGGCAGCCCAAAATTGGGAAAGTAAGTGACTCTTATTTTTCAACTTTTTTGTTCTTATAATTTGTTCTAGTCCTTGTCAACTTTGAACCTAGGTAGATTTTTAAATTGTAACTATTTCATTTGGATTATGAATTTTGGAGCCTCCAACAAAGCAAATTAACATTGAAATGCTTTAAGAAACATTTCAAATTACTAAAGATTCTTTTTGAAAGTATATTTTTCATGAATGAAGTAATTTTATATTCTTTACACTCGTGTTTAATGAGCAACTCAGAAAACAATGTTTTATGCCACTCTTACCGCTGGTAAGATATAAATATATAAATATAACATTTTGGAGGTATTAGCTAATACAGTTACAAAACAGAAAGATATTGAGAGGTTGAAGAAAGAAGACTGTCCATTATTTGTAAGTGGAATGCTTGGATACAATGAAATCCAGAGAAATTCAACTGGGTGGGGATGGAAATATTGCTAACAAGAAAATTCAGTAAGGTAGCTGGAAGCAAAATTAATGTATGAGGCATATATTAATTGTATACAAATAAGAGCCATTTAGAAAATATTTTGGGAGAAAATAATGCACTTATTGTGAAATCAAAGAAGATAAAATAGGTAGGGATAAACTTAACAAGAAATGTAAAAAGTCTGTTTAAAGAGAACTTTAACATTCTACCACTGTGAGTAAAAGATGATTTGTTAAATAGAAAACTATATCCTATTTAGATTCCACATCATGTAAATAAAGATGCTAGTTCTTCCCTGTATTAACATAGTTTTTACAGCATTCAAAAAAGTATCAGGAAGATTTTTGGGGAACCAGACAGAGTTGATTCTAAAGTCATATGGAAGGCGCCTCCCTGGCGCCACAGTGGTTAAAGTCTCAGCACTGTCAAGTATCACCAACCACTGTGGAATGAGTTCAATCCCTGGCCAGGGAGCGACCCACATGGCACAGCAGATCTCTCCTGTCTCATGCGCTGCTCCCCTCAGCAGTGTATTTCAGTAGATCTGCTTGTTCTGCTCACACCCCACACTTCTTAACTGTACCCCAGTTCTTGTATGTATAAATAAATAAAAATAAATCTTAAAAAAAAAAAGAAAATTGTGCTCCTAACATTATATAGTTATATAAACAAGTCAGGTCAGTAAAATTTGTAGTGGAAGTAAAAATTTGCTACTGACTCATGAATAGGTATTAAACAGAGAAATCTCATATATATGGGCATGATATGAGGATATGAGTAACAGGAGGTAAGAATCATTGATTGTCATCATGGAAGTTTCCTATCACATGGTGAAGCTCTCTATATTGATAGGTATTTGCCATATTCTTGTAGCTTTATGTGTGAAAATATTCAGAAAAATATATTAATAAACTCGACAAAAATATATTAATAAACTCAACAGAATAAAAGAGGTGAATTTGTAAATTCAAAGGGCTTAAATTCCTTATTAAAAATGCTAGTAGTAATAAATGCTAACTTAATAGTAACTTAAGTTCTAGTTGCTTCAAGTGTTTGTATGTATTATAAACTTAGATAAATTTTCTAATTTGTTTCTCTCTAAATTAATTTAATGTAAACTTTTTAAAAACATCATTTATCTTTCCTAATAGTTACTGGCAGTTCCTGTGGAAAAATCTGTTAAGTTATACAGAAGAGAAAGTTGGAGTAATCAATTTGATCTTTCTGATAATTTCATCTCTCAAGTAAGCTATTCTGACACTTTTCAGTGGTTTAAAGGTAATGTTTAATGCATACTTTGCCTAAGTACGTTTGCAGTTAAATATTATCGGAAATGAGGAGCCTCAGGTTGCTTTCTTCATTTAGCCAATAATAGAACAGTAAATAGGTATTTGCTATGTATTGTTTGACCTTTCCCCTTTGTGAAATTTAAAAAAATCATTTAGTTTATAAAAAGTTTGTAGACAAATTTAGCCCTTGTCTAGTATTACAGCATGTTATTCTCACATTATCAGCAATTAGCTTTTATTAAGTGAATTTCCTTGAAACTTGTGATATGGACTCTGAAATTTTAAAACAGTAAAGGTTTTAATCTATATTATGTAATTCTATCTTCCCTTTCACTCTTGCTCTGTGTTGTCTCTTATAAACATCTATTTTGCAGTTAAGGCTGCAAGGTCTAATGCAGGTCTAATGCCTTACAGAGATTCACTTCACTTCCTAGCTCCCTTCATCCTGGTGGTGACTACAAAGGAACTACCTTGTGTGGTCTGTTTCTAGCATGGGAACATTGTTTTAGATTTTGCTTTTTAAATTATGCCTGTATAGTTTCTCATAAGTAATTGCTGCTAGTGATAGCTGAATATTATTGAAAAAGAAAGTTAAAAAATAAGAAAACTTTGTTTTGCCGTTTTGTTTAAAGAACAAGGTTATAAAAACTTGAATTTTCTAGTAAAATAATTGTTTAATTTCAATTTGTGCCAAATTGTTACTTCTTGTTTTCTTTTATAGACCTTGAATATAGTAACTTGGTCTCCTTGTGGGCAATATTTAGCTGCAGGTAGTATCGATGGTTTAATTATAGTTTGGAATGTGGAAACCAAAGATTGCTTGGAAAGGTATGATTCACTATTTCTTTTGTCTCTTTTTGTTTGTTCAGTTAGATTTTTGTTTTATTTTGTAATATTTCAAATTTGCAATTATCACATTGTCAAAACGCAAACATAACTACTAATTTGTCAAAATTCATTTAACCAATTCTAATACATACTTTAAAGTGTGTAGTTTGTATTTTTCTTGATGTTTTAAGAACTCATTTTTTTAATTTTTAGGGTGAAACATGAGAAAGGTTATGCAATTTGTGGGCTGGCATGGCATCCTACTTGTGGTCGAATTGCTTACACTGATGCAGAAGGAAATCTAGGGCTCTTAGAGAATGTTTGTGACTCCGGTGGAAAAACATCAAGCAGTAAGGTAATAAATTATAGGGTAAAACAGTTTCTTCAAAGTCTTCCTGTGGTCATGTGAATTTGCAAGATACCGAGATCTATATTACTTTCTTGGAAAATCACAATTAATGTTACTCAGTGAGATGCTGAGTAATGAACTATAGTAAAGAAAACTGTTTAAACTTTCAAGGTTCCCAAATACACTTTTTTGCTCCTGGTATTCCAAGCCATTTTAGTATTTACCTTTTTGGAGATTTTAAAATGGACATTGGAATAGTGGCCACACTAAGGCATTTATGAACATTGAGTGAATTAGATAAAGGTAACAGTCTCTAGTACAGCACTTGATTAATGTTGTTATTATTGTTTTACATGTGATAATAGTCTAAATGCTGTATATTGAGCCAACCAACCAAAATGAGAATAGAACTATTTTGGGAGAATTGAGGAAGGAGATTAATGTGCATGCTTTTAGGTCACATGGAATTCACATCTTCCCTAATAGAGGGAAGTTCATTGTATCTATTAAATTGGCAATGATTAAAACTGAAAAATATAATTTAAATAGCACTAGAATATTATTTACAAGTATGGAGGAAGGTATCAAAGGAAATAAAGACCAGATACTGTGCAGAAGACTGTTATTATTTTTAAAATAAACCTTGTCACACTATCTGACTAATTTATTTTCATGTGTAACATTGATAAAAACGAAAAGTAAATTTAGAAACAATGGTAATTCAAAGATCACCTCTTATAAAATGTTTAATCCTGCCATCCAGAATGACCACTTGCTCGTTTTGTTTTTACTCCTCAACGTACATATTTTTATAACAGTAGCACTTGTAGTTTATGACTCTCACTGTAAATATAAGGCAAGCTTCTCATTTTTTAGTAAGAAAGTCCAAAAAAGACTTTTGTGATCTACTTGAATATGTACATTTTCAGTCTAGATAAAATAATTAAAATCTTATTTAGCATTTAGTTATTTAATTATTCAAATCATGTTTAAGCATATGAATTTAAAGTGTTTTTCCAGATCTCTCATGTTATTAATCTCAAATTTTCCCAAAACATAATCGTGTACTATCATCCTCAAAATATTTTTGATAATAGTCTCTTTTGAATTTATTAATGGTGTTCTTATTAAAATTTTATACCAAACTATAAATTTCCTTTGGTTTAACTTTTGTATAGTTTTTGTTGTTTCAATAGTAATAGCTTGTGATCTCTGTATTTGCTTACTATTTCACTTTTTAAACTAATCTCAAAAACTATAGTGATATCCAATACTTGGAATGGTATGTTCATATTCCTAGGAATAAATGTCTAACTCTGTTATAATTTCTTTGCCTCTTTTGATTTTCATTTGGTTCTATTTACTTTTATAAGCATCAAAAAAGCCTACTTTTAACTGTTTTAACTGAGATCATTTAAACCAAATATATTTTACCTACATAGTTATCTTGTTCAAAATAAAAGTAAGAAAGAGAGTTTCTTATAATGAAAATCTTCGTAGAAACTTGTAGGGACTTGTAGGTGACTATTTTTCTGGCCAATGAGTTCTGAGGGATAAAATTTTGCCTCATATTTGGGTATATACAATATTTTTTTTACATGTTTGTCCTATATATCTACCCTATCTTAGATTAGGTGTCATTTAAAGTAATGACAAAGTCTTATATAAAAACAAATACAATATCCATAAATATGTTTACAAATTATTTTTATTAAGGCATTTGCTTACTTGATAGGTACTTATTAAAAGATTGCCTTTTGAGTAAGTGAGCTTATCCAAATAGTTCACTAATACTTTCTAATTTGTATTAATTTGTTTAGGTATCTAACAGAGTGGAAAAGGATTACAATAATCTTTTTGATGGAGATGATATGAGTAATGATGGTGATTTTCTAAGTGACAATGCAGTTGAGACTTCCTCCTTTTCAAAAGGGATTATAAATGATGATGAGGATGATGATGACCTCACACTGGCTTCAGGTCGTCACAGACAGCGAAACCACATCCTAGAAGATGATGAAAATTCAGTTGGTATGAATTGATTTTGTGGAGAAAATGATCCATCTAGTTGAATTATATTTTCAATTATTTATTAAAACTACTGTTTAAAAGCATTGTTGAATTAGTAGAATTTAGTGAAAGCAGTGTGGAGAAGGAAATTTATAGTACTAAATGTTATGCTCAACAAGTTTTCACATTGATGATCTAAATTTTAATAAACTAGAAAAAGAAGAGGTTATTGAACCTCAAGCAGCAGGTGGAAAAAAATAAGAACAGAATTCAATGAAATTGACAGCAACAAAAGAACTATTAAAAAGTAAGCTAATAGGGCCCTCCCTGGTGGTGCAGCAGGTTAAAACACTGCACTAAGAAGCTTAAGCCACTTCAGCATGAGTTCGATTCCCGCCTGCCCCAGGGCATGGCGCGGCAGACCTCTCCTGACACACCCACTGCTCCCCTCAGCAGTGTACTTCATTGATCTGCCTGTTCTGCTCCCCACTCTGTCTCTGGTGAATCCTCTCACCCACCACATCTCTGGCTTGTACCCCAGTTCTGTATGAGTAAATAAATAAATCTTTAAAAAAAAAAAAGTAAGCTAATAGTTCTTTGAAAAGATCAGTAGAATCAACAAACTCCTATGCCAAGTGATCGAGAAAGATAGAACAGACTTAAATGACTAATATAACTAGTGAAAGATGGCTTATCACCCTAAATCCTATTGACTCTTATGCTATCTAGTATAGTTGCCACAAGCCACCTGCGTTTATTGAGCTCTTGAAATGTGATTTTTAAAATAGCACTGAAAAGGAATACATCTTGGTCAGTTTTTACATTAAGAATTTGTTGAAATACTAATAGTATATTAAATACATGATATTATCAAATTTAACTATATCTGTTTCTTTACTTTTAATACAGCTTTTTAAAAATTCTAAATTGCATATGTTCACATATTTCTGGAAGATAGCCCTGGCACTGCTATTAATAACAAAGGAAAATAGAGTAGTATAAATAACCTTGTTACCTATAAATGCAACAGCATAGATGAGATAGTAAAATACAGGCCCTCCCTGGTGGCACTGTGAGTTAAAGTGCAGCACTGTGAAGCTGGCAGTAGCCGCTTTTGGTACAAGTTCGATCCCCACCTGGAGCTGACCTACATGGTGCAGCAGACCTCCCCTGACCTGCCCACTGCTCCCCTCAGCAGTGTACTTTGTCAGTCTGCCTGTTTGCTCCCTACTCTGTCTCTGGTGAATCCTCTCACACACAACTCCACACCTCTGGCCTGTATCCCAGTTCTGTATGCATAAATAAATAAATCTTTTTAAAAACAAAGATACAAACTGCCAAGATAAGTAAAGAAGAAATACGTGAATATATAAAGAGATTGTAATTGAAAATCTGCTTATAAAATTCCATTGTATTGTTGCTAATTGTGTTGCTTTTATTTATTTACATTTTAAATATTTATGCATACAAGAATTGGAATTGTGTTGCTTTTAAGTCATTTAGGAGAGTTTTGATGTCATGAACTTTTCATTTGCTTATTTTTAGTGAGAAAGAACATTGACAGAAAGTGTAGAGGAAGATCATAGTTTCTGATAAAATATTCAAAATTACCCACTTCCAGATGGGTAAATGCCCAGCTAAACAGAGTTGGCTCAAGAACTCACCACAAATGTAAGATAGCTTCTGGCAGGGAATCATAGCAAAGGGCCAAAAGTAGCCAGGAAGCAAGTCTGGAGCAAAAAGAACAAAATCAAAGTATAAGTCAATCTAAGGGCTGCCGTTGCCAGCCACCCCATGGGATAACCTGTGTCTATCCAAGTACCTCCTTCCTTGTCCCCCAAGTTTCTGGTACAAGTCCAGGGCTGAGAAGCAAGTAATAATTCACATGTCTGTTCCATGTGTCTCCTTCAAGTCTTTTCTGAGTCATTTTCAGCTTCTTGTTGTTCAACCTCACCCTTCATTAGGTATAACTCAGGAGCTTATTGTATTTAAGCATTTTTGAGGATCCCAGAGACTATTTATGGAATTATTTTTATTGTATTTACCATGTTAGAAATTAAAAACAAATTTTAAAAATAATTTAAAAACTTATTACATGTAAACATGACTTTTTTTTTTTTTTTTTTTAAAGATTTATTTATTTGTGCATACAGAACTGGGGTACAGGCCAGAGGCTCAGGGGCGGTGAGAGGCTTCACCAGAGACAGAGTGGGGAACAGAACAGGCAGATGGATGAAGTACACTGCTGAGGGGAGCAGCGGGTGGGTCAGGAGAGGTCTGCCACACCATGTGGTCACCTCCGGGGCAGGCGGGAATCGAACTCATGTGGAAGCGGCTTTAGATTCTCAGTGCTGTGCTTTAACCCGCTGCGCCACCAGGGAGGGCCCCTAAACATGACTTTTTTAAAGATTTATTTATGCATAAAAGAACTGAGGTTCAGGTCAGAGGTGCTGGGGTGAGAGGATTCACCAGAGACACAGTGGGGAGCAGAACAGGCAGATTTTACTGAAATACACTGCTGAGGGGAGCAATTGGCGTGACAGAGAGGTCTGCTGTGCCATGTGTGTCGGCTCCCTGGCTTTAGTAGTGATAACTCTGAGTCCACCAGGGAGACCTACATGTAAACATAGCTTTTTATGAAAAACAAACTTAATTAGAAAAGTAACATTTTATGTTTTAAAAAATCTCTTTAATGCCTGGCATAGAATATAACTGGGTTCTCTTAGCTATTTAGAATTCAGCCTGCTGCCATATACTGTTTTTGCTAAAATACTTCAAAAATTTAGCTTTATTAAAATAAGTCGTTTGACAAGAGAAAATTATTTTAATAGCCTATTCAAGTAACTATGGACATTTTTTTTGATACTGCAACAAAACTGAACAACTGATAGCATCTTAAAGATTACTTGTAGTGTGAAGTCTGAAAACTTTTCAGTGAACCTTTCAATTGTTATAATTCATTGTTCTAATCTTTTACCATATTTGATTTTTGCAACATTTTCATTGGGCAGTTTGAGAAATACTGGCTCACTGTTTGCAGACCTTTCTAATACTGACATTAATCATATTTTTTTCTATTATCACTAAACTCATTAGAAGTTTTTTTAATATTAGGAAGGAGACAAGTTCATGGTGGCAGGTAGATGTTTTCCAGTATTCAAATTTTCACTTGCAAGTTAAATTTTATCATTGTAAACAAATTTTGAATTACTTAAATACTATTGTTTGCCAGTTACTTAATTGCCAGTTAAGTGTTTGCCAGTTATTTAATAGCCAGTTTATCTGGCATTCTTTCAAGTAAAAGTAGTGTTCCATAAAAAAGTCAGTTTTGTTGACAATTCACTTTGCACAAATAATTTTTAACTTTGGGACAAACATTTCTGTGGACTTCCCACTTTAACACAAAAATTATTTATTAAAAAATTTATGAAAGGATCAAAATTTAGTGAAGTTAATACTTTCACTGAAACTGAATAATGCAAATGCCCTGACTACTAGTACAGACTGGTGCTACTGCCTGGATTGATACTTCAGCACCAGTAGTTACACCTTCTGTTGCTTTTGCACCATCACTGCAAATAGTAATACTGGGAAAGAAGCAAACAGCATTTTAATGTCATTAAGTATGAAAAAAAAAAGGTTTATTAGAATTCATAACGCTTTTCTTTTTCCCAGCCATTGATACTTATAACTGCCTAACTATAATCCTTTGCATTCTAGATGTAACAATGCTAAAAACTAATTCAAATCTTCTCAAAGAGGAGGAAGAAGATGATCAGACAGGTAGCATTCAGAATTTACCACTTGTCACTTCCCAAAGGCCATTTTATGAAGGGCCAATGCCTACTCCTCGGCAGAAGCCTTTCCAGTCAGCTTCTACACCCTTGCATCTCACTCACAGATTCATGGTAAGCTTTGGATCTACACTTCTGAGCAGTTTTATGTCACTTTTAAGCATTTCATCTCACTACATGTAATTTCTTTTAGTGTAATTTATTTGTTTGTATATTTTAAAGCATTGTTCATTTTTGTGTGTTGTTTGTTTACTCGTCTTAGGTTTAGTCCCCATAGAATTCCCCTCCTAAGTCACCTGTGCACCATCACCATAGTCCCTTGTGTTCTTCCCTCCCTGTTCTTATTCTTCTCCTCTGGCCCCCCACAGAATGTCTGTGGTTTATAGTTACCTGCCAATATTTTTTTGTTATTATTCTTCCCTCCCCTCCACCCAGCCCTTGTTTGGTTCCCCTGTATTCCTCCTATAAGTGAAACCATCCAGTATCTTCTTTTTTCCTTGTGGCTTATTCCATGGAGCAGAATCCCTTCTATCTCCATACATGTTGCTGCTAATGGCATGAGTTTATTTTTTTTTATTGCTGAATATTATTCCATTGTGTATATAGAACACACCAGGATCAATACATCTATTACTGGACAGTTGGGTTGTTTCTATATCTTACCTATTGTAAATAGTGCTGCATTAAACATAGGGTGCAGGTACCCTTTTAAATTAATATTTGTGTCCTCTGGGTAGATTCCTAGGAAAGGAACTATTGGATCATATGGCAGCTCCATTTTTAGTAGTTTGAAGAACCTCTGCACAGCTTTCCATAGTGGTTGGAACAGTTTACATTCCCACTAGCAGTGCAGGAGAGTTCCTTTTTCTCTACATACTCACCATTTGTTGTTGCTAGTTTTTTAGAAATGTGCAATTCTCACTGGTATAAGGTTTTGAATTACATTTCCCTGATTATAAGGAATGTTGAACATTTTTTCATATACTGTTGGCCATTTGCATTTCCTCTTTGGAGAAGTGTCTTTTTTAGCTCTTTTCCCCATTTTTTGACAGGGTTGTTTACTTTGTTTTTATTGAGTTGTCACTACACTTAATTTTGTTTGACAAAAGAATTTTTTAAATAAAATTTTTTTTTAATTTTTAATAAAAAATAAAATAATATTTTACTTTTATATCATTTTGTGCTTTTTTCCATCTCAATTGTAATCTGTATGGACTTCCCATCACCAGTTCACCCGTGTGCCATCACCATAGTCCTATGCACTTAACCCCCACCCCCATTTTTTATTCCATTCCCCACTCCACCCCTGTAAAATGTCTCTGGTATAGAGTTATTCATTATTGTTATCACTATTTTTCCTCCTGGTCCTTTATGCTCCTGCTATGAGTGAAACCATCCAGTATTTTTCTTTTTCTTTCTGGCTTATTTCAGTAAGCATGATCCTTTCCAGCTCCATCTGTATTGCTGCAAAAGGCATGAGTTTATCATTTTTGACTGCTGAGTAATATTCCATTGTGTCTATGGACCACATCTTTTTAATCCAGTCATCTACTTTTGGGCATTTCAACTGTTTCTATGTCTTTCCTATTGTATTTAAAGCAGTAATAAACATGGGGGTTCAGGTGTCATTTTGAATCGGTGTTTTTGTGTCTTTAGGGTAGATACCTAGGAGTGGGATTGCTGGGTCATGTGGAAGAATATGTTTTAAAACCTTCATTAATTGATCTGGAACACATTGTTTGGTTTTAATTTTGTGATTAAAAACCGACTAACTTAGCTTTACTCTCATTTCACCCTTCTTATTGAAAATTGTATTAAATAAAATTCTGCTTTGCAAAATGTAATGAGCATAAAGGGCTATGACTATATATTTTGTAATAGCCCTTGGCCAGCTTCCAAATCTTGTTCTCATATAAGAGATTATACTGGTTTCAAAATCTAGTTAGAAAGTGGTTTTTAGAAATGATCTAGTATAGTATATTAGAATGTGATAAATGTTATTAAAAAAAAAAATTCTAACCTTCCCCATCTCTCCTTACTGGAGTACAAACACAAGAATAGAGATCTTTCTGTTTTGTTTATTGATACCACTTAGGATAAGCTATGATACAATAAGAATTAAATACATATTTCCTGCATTGTTAAATGAATATATTCACTTTTTGTCCTTAAGCTTCAGAGCTAAATGAGTTAATAGTTCTTTTTTCTGTTGAGGACTTTGCCTGTTTTTTTGTGAAAGGTATAGGTGTAATACCATAAACTAAAAAGTAATATTTTATTTTAAAATTTTGCTGTCAGTAACATCATATAAGGATTTTTAATTATTTTATTATTGGAGGCTGTTTAACTCATAGTTATATTTTTGGTAGTAAAAGGAAACACTAGCACCTATTTGGAGCTTATAGTGTACATCAGTGGAAGATAAGTTTTCCAAAATGCTATAATTTTATGTTGCCTTAAAATGTGTGTATTTATTCCTATAATATAAGCCAACCATTTGGGACAGAAAAACATGCTGTCATTTACATTTGTTATTTATAAATAAATTTTTGCAGTGTTTCTTCTGAGGAGTTAATAGTTTAGTTATTTAAAGGTCAATTATAAAATACTTTTTAAATGATAATAATGTAAAATATATTTTTTTAAGATTTCTTATGTGTACAAGAACTGGGGTATAGACTGTATGTGCAGTGGAGGTGAGAGGATTCATCAGAGACAGAGTGGGGAGCACAACAGGCAGATCAATTGAAGTACACTGCTGAGGGGAGCAGCACATGAGACAGGAGAGGTCTGCTGTGCCATATAGGTCACTCCCTAGCCAGGGATTCAACTGTCACTGCAGTGGTTGCAGATAGCTTCATAGTGCTGTGCTTTAACCCGTTGTGCCACCAGGGAGGGCCTGGTAGTAATGTTAATTTTAAAGAACATTAAATGAAATAACCCATTTGTGAACAGATAAGTATATATGTAACTTTTCATGAGGAAAAGAATAATAATTATAGCCCTGATGTTACTACTGTTATCTGATACTATTTAGAGGTCAAATAAATAGTAGCTTCTATAACTTAAACTGTGATATGGAATGAATTGCAGGATTTGTTAGTTTTTACTATTAGGATGTGCTGATTTTAGTTCAAATTGTCCTCAGACTTGTATTTAACCTTTACATGTTTGTAGGTATGGAACTCAATTGGAATTATTCGCTGCTATAATGATGAGCAAGACAATGCCATTGACGTGGAGTTCCATGATACATCTATACATCATGCAACACACTTATCAAACACTTTGAATTATATAATAGCAGATCTTTCCCATGAAGCAATTTTACTGGCATGTGAAAGCACTGATGAACTGACAAGGTAAATTCAAGATTACAAGGAAGTGCTGAACTGTTAGCTACAGTTGTTGAAAGCAGTACAAAAATGTGATAAAATCATACTATTCATATAGAATTTCAGAAAGAAATTTTATGTCAGCCCACTCTACCTAAGTACATATATTTGTTTTTCCCTGTTTCCTGGTAATATTCTCTACATATCAGAATGACATGACTGGAAATGAAGAGAAATAGGACCTGTTTTTAACATTTTTTTTTATTAGTATTATCCAAGAAATACATGTTAATTGCTTAAATTTAAGTACAGAAATTTTAGAAAATGAAAGTCCTCCCAGAATTCTATTCTCAGGTATGACTACTGTTAACAATTTGATATGTATCCTTACAGATAAATTTCCTATGACCCTCCCCTTTAAAGAACTTACTTATTGAGGTATAACTTAGGTACAATGTACCTATTCTTGATGTATAATTTGAATTTGACAGAATTGTTACAAACCTGGGTAACCAATATCATACCAGATTTTTTTTATACCTAGATATTTTTTCATCCACATCCAAAAACATTTGTCTTATATTCCTTTGCAGTTAATCCAATCCAAGTTCTGAGTAACTACTAATCTAAGATCTGTTTTTTTTTTTTCTCATTATAGATTAGATTTGGAACTATTTAAAAAATGTAGAAAAAGACACCAGAAAATGTCATGATTGTTCATTTGTTGGGTTTTTTGTTTTTTGTTTTTTTAATGTTTTGGACTAAACAAGCATTTTAATAGTAGGTAGGTAGGTAAGGAAACAAACAAAAACTTATGATGAAAAAGAAGTAGATGCAGAATTTACTTTTTTTTTTTTTTTTTAAAGATTTATTTATTTGTACATACAGAACTGGGATACAGGCCAGAGGCTCAGGGGCAGTGAGAGGCTTCACCTGAGACAGAGTGGGGAGCAGAGCAGGCAGATCTACGAAGTACACTGCTGAGGGGAGCAGCGGGTGGGTCAGGAGAGGTCTGCCATGCCATGTGGTCACCTCCGGGGAAGGCGGGAATTGAACTCATGCGGAAGTGGCTTTAACTTCTCAGTGCAGTGCTTTAACCCGCTGCGCCACCAGGGAGGGCCCAGAATTTATTTTTAATAAGGAAAAGTGTCTCACCTTTTTGTTATTCCAGCTAGATTGACTTCTCCTGACCTCTTCATTTCATTTTTGTGCTTATATACTTGATAGTAGACTTTTATTAAATCCCCATTGATTTGAAATTTAAAAACCTCTGATTTAGATATGTCACCTCCTTACTGCTCAAAGTGTGGTCCAGAAATTAGGGACAAAGATCACCTGGGATCTTGTTGACAGTACAAATTCTCAAAACCCCCTCTAGATCTTCTGAATCAGAATTTGCTTGTTAACAGGCTCCTTGGTGATTGAGTATGCATTAAATTCTGAGAAACATTATATTAATATTTTGATTGGTTTCCTAATTTTCACATTGTAAAATCAACTCAGCACTTCATTGTTGAATTAAATCAGTGTTCACTGTTGACTTGGCTTTCATTCTGAATGTGTTACATAATTAGAACATTTATTGCTGTATGCAGTTTTTATTTTTTATATCCTTTATTTTTCTGTAGTATTTCACAGCCATTGACAGTGTTCATTTCATTTTTAAATTGAATTTGAAATAATTTTTCAGAAAGTTAGTATTGCCTCTGATTCCAAAGCTTAAATTTATTAGTAACTTAAATGTATATGTATGTATGTATGAAAAGAAAAAGTGGAAACATCAAACTGTTAGCAGTAGTTGGTAATTTTATTGATGGCATAATGTGTGGTTTTTTTCCTTTTTCTTCTGTACTGATTTTTTTTTTTTTTTGAGTTAACAAACTTGCCTAACATTTGATTCTTCCTTTATTAAAAACTTGATTATGGTTTTGTGTGTATTTACACTTTAGGATCATACTGTACAGATTTTAGCCTTTTTTCATTTAACATTAGGTTGTGAGGATTTTCCTGTATCTTAAAACACTCTTCAACAATAGAACTGTTAGTGGTTTTAATTAATATAGCTCATTTTAAGTATAGTTCAAAATTACTTTCGTAAAGCTATTTCTGGTATAATTTGTGTATGATTGAAAAAGAAACTATTGAGTTTGTCATTGGGTGTCATAATTAGTTCAATATATGTAATATCAAATACAAAGGTTTGATTGTTTTGGTTTTGATTTTTAGCAAGCTTCACTGCCTGCACTTTAGTTCTTGGGACTCAAGCAAAGAGTGGATCGTAGATATGCCTCAGAATGAGGATATTGAAGCCATATGCCTTGGTCACGGGTGGGCTGCTGCTGCCACTAGTGTCTTGCTCCTTCGATTGTTCTCTATTGGAGGTGTTCAGAAAGAGATCTTCAGTCTTCCTGGCCCAGTGGTGTCGATGGCAGGACATGGCGAACAGCTTCTCATTGTTTATCATAGAGGTAAATATTTTCCAGACTTTTATAATTTTATCATGACCTAAAGAAAAGTGAAAATTACTTGAGCTTTTTTTCTCCCCCTCTGTTTTGAATTATATGTCTCCTTTTGCACTTATTTTTATTTGAATCAATGCAGCCTTTGAATGTGTAGAATTTTGTTGGATTCATTAAGAGCATTGAAAATGAAAATATTTTATTCGCAGAAGATGTATTATACAAAAAATTCCAAGGTAAAGTTTGGTCGATCGCTTCCATATCTGTATCTTACAAAGATCGTCAGAGTTTAAACACTTCAGAATGAAGTTAACTCCTAGTGTGGACCAGAACAAGTTTTGAATGTGACTTTTGAAAAAGTTGCCTCCATTTCCTCACCTTATTTTATTTTATTTTATTTTTTTGTAAGTCCTATCATTTCTGTATACTTAATTTTTTTCTAATTTTACTAGAAATACTTTCTTCTATCGGTGTTTATGACATGATTGTCCCTATTGTTCCTCACTGGTAAATCCTTTGTTCCTTTGCTCCCACCCTTATGCTGACTCCACCCCTAGAATGTTCAAGGGCTTGGTCATAGGCCTCTTCTCTAGTACTCTCTATGCCAGTTTTTTGACCCTGCCATTCTGTACATATTTGTAGATGTAACTGAAATAAAGATCTAATGGACAAGTAAAAATGCAATGGATATATTTTTTTTATTTCATATTTCTTTAAATGCTCTTGTAACTCTAAATTGATTTCATGCCTTATGGGTCAAAAAAGCAATTTGACCCTGGGGAATTGCATCAAGGTCTTTGGTTTTAACTACATCTATGCATCTGTAACTTCTAAATTAATGTCATCAGCCCTGTCTTCTTTCGTCTCCAGATGTATATATCCAGTTGTTCATTTGAAATCTTTGTAGACCTTTTAGTATGCATTTCAGACTTAACTTGGTGACAGTAAAACCTGTGATTTTTCTCCCCCACCCCAAACTTGCTTCTTAGTTTTCCCATCTCAGTAAATGGCATATTGTCAGTCCAGCTGCTATGCCAAAAATGTATATAATCCTTGGTTCTTATCTTTCCTTCATTGCCTTCCCATATCAATTCTACTAGTAAGTTCAATAGAATAGCATACTCCAAATCTGTCTCCATCTCCTCCACTAAAATCCCAGTCAAATCCATCTCTTATACTATTGTAATAGCCTCCTAAATAACCTTTCAGTCTCAGTACTTTCCAAAATCTGTCCTCCACATAGCAGCCTGGGTGCTATGTGGAGGACAGTTAAGTCAGATTATGTTCCTCTTCTAAATTGCTCTGATGACTTCCATTGCTTTAGAAAGCTTCTACATGTCTGACCACCATTGCTTTCTTCTTCAGTTTCATCTCTTGCTTCTTTTTCTTTTATATGTAATTTGGCTCTTCAAACAAAGAAGTATGTTCCCATCTTAGTATCTTTCCATTTACTGTTTCCTCTTTTTACATACTGTAGTATTGCTCCTAATATTCACATGGCTGACTTCAACTTGCAATTCATATCTCAGCTTAAATTCTACTTCCTCAAAGAGCTACCTCTGACTATCCAATTGGAAGTAATAGTTCAGTTAGCTCAGTCTGGTGCATTAAAATAATACATTATTTTTTTTTTAAAGATTTATTTATTTATACATACAGAACTGGGGTACAGGCCAGAGATGCGGAGGGTGAGAGGATTCACTAGAGACAGAGTGGGGGGCAGAACAGGCAGATTGACGAAGTACACTGTTGAGGGGAGCAGCGGGCGGGTCAGGAGAGTTCTGCCATGCCATGTGGTCACCTCCGGGGCAGGCGGGTATCGAACTCATGTGGAAGTGGCGTTAA